ACCTTTACCCTCCAGGTCCTAGCAACCCGCACTATCAAAAGGCCATGGAACGCGAAGCGCAGCGTAAGGGTACTACCGTCCAGTCCGCGCCGGCCCAAGCAGAGGCGATTCCCACCATCACGTCTCCTGGTGCACGTGCTCTGCAGCAATCGAATTCCAACTTGACTCCTCATCAGCAGCGCCAGCAACAAGCCTCTGTGGCAGCTGCCGGGTTTGCCGATAAGCTTACTACTTCCATGATGGAGCAGGAGCTGGACGAGAACGAACCCCCGACCCTCAAACTCGGCGATGCCTCTGTCGCTGCACCCTTTACCAGCAAATTGGCAAATGTCGTTGCTATTCCCAACATTCTGCGTCAGGGTCGCTGCACACTGGTCGCAACGATTCAGATGTACAAGATCCTTGCCTTGAACTGTCTGATCAGTGCCTACAGTCTGAGTGTTATCTACTTGGACGGTATCAAGTTTGGTGACGGTCAGGTGACTATCAGCGGTATGCTGATGAGTGTTTGTTTTCTGTCAATCTCTCGTGCAAAGGTAGGCGATCAAGAATCACATTAGAGATGCCTGACACTAACTATTTACTGCAGTCTGTCGAAGGTCTGTCGAAGGAGCGCCCTCAGCCGAACATCTTCAACGTGTACATCATCGGCTCCGTGCTCGGCCAGTTCGCCATCCACATTGCCACCTTGATCTACCTGTCGAACTATGTATACAGCATCGAGCCGTGAGTTCTCATCTACTTTGGTATAGGTTCTGTAGTGCTTATAACTGACTCGGTCGCAGGAGACAATCCGACGTTGATTTGGAGGGAGAGTTTGAGCCGTCGCTCCTCAACAGCGCCATCTATCTTTTGCAGCTTATCCAGCAGATTTCGACATTCTCGATCAACTACCAAGGCCGCCCCTTCAGAGAGTCCATTCGCGAGAACAAGGCTATGTACTGGGGTCTGGTTGCGGCATCTGGTGTCGCCTTTTCTTGTGCAACCGAATTCGTGCCAGAGTTGAACGAGAAGCTCCGCCTGGTCCCGTTCAGCACCGAGTTTAAACTGACACTGACTGTTCTGATGATTTTCGATTACGCGGGATGCTGGCTCATTGAGAATGTGCTCAAGACGTTGTTCAGCGATTTCCGACCGAAGGACATCGCTGTACGCCGGCCTGACCAACTGAAGCGGGAGGCGGAGCGTAAGCAGAAGGAGACTGGGCAGCAGTAGGCCCATTAAAGGCAAGAGATATAGACCATGGCTGGTTAGAGTAGTTGCACTTCTTGTCTAGATATATAGGTGCTGTTGGTTGAAAGCAAGGCGTGTGAGACCTTGCTAATATTGAAGGATGTTCATAGAGAGCAAGCTGTAAGTTTAGGTTATCTTTTATAAAGATAGAGAGTGTCAATGTCAAAGACAATTCTCGTACATGCAGGATGATGGCAGTAAAAGTAATCGATCAGCCGCGACCAGTGAGCGATCCAGACATGCGCAGACTGAACTGTGGGGATAATCATGATGGCCGGTGTTGATGCCTCAGGTGTACAATCTGTAGGCGGGCGATAAGCTGCGGATTAACTCCTGACGCTGGGCTGGTGCTTGTCTGGCACTCTCGGCTCCCTTCCCTTCTTGTCTTTCCCCCCTCTTAAGCTCCACCCCCGGACAAGGCTGAAGTCGCAGACTCCCCTTTCATCCGCCAGTCCCCTGATCCTACGGTCTGTGACCCCTTGTGGGATTCCGATTCTCATGCTCTCTTAAATTCCAGTCATCATGCCCCGGAGGACGCTGGGTGGAGGTCGTGTTCTTGGCCCCGCGAACGCTCGTTCTCCATCGGCATTAATCCCGTCTCCGCAGCCCAGCAATCCAAGACACCTTACCTTATCACCGTCCGCCAGCAGCGTTTCCCTGAATTCACAAGCCTCCGCATCCCAGGTTTCCTCCGAAGCTCAGGATCTCACGTCGCGCATTTCCCTCGAAAATGGTTCTGCCTCCATTCCTGCTGCTCCGGCAGCTGCCGGAGCTCAGTTAGCCTGTCCGATCTGCAGTGAGGAGATGGTATGACCTGTCCTACACAAGTCTCTTATCGGGATTCCGTTCCTATCACCACCAGACATACTGACAGAAGCAACAGGTGACACTGTTGCAATTGAATAGGTACCTCGCTTGACGCTCGCGATATTTGTTTCCGTTTGTACATGCGATTAACACGATTCTCAGACACCTCGATGACGTCCACCAGAACCTGGAAGACGATCGGCAAGATGAAGTCAAAGACTGGTTCAAAACCCAGATGGATAAAGCCAAGCGATTCCAACCACTTGCAGTCTTAAACCAAAAGCTCAAAGGCTTGGACGTGTTCGAATCCAATGAGAATATACATCCTTTTGCCGGTCCGAGTCGGCCCCCTGGACCTCTCCCGGCGCATCCGCCTGAACCCCCGAGAGCACTCGACCCGGACGACGTTATAACGAGGGATCACTGGCAAGGTCGCACCCTTTACGATGTGTGCTTGGAACCGTCGTGTGGAAAGCGACTCAATGCTACAAATGGTTGTGTCAATTGTCGCAAATGCGGGAAACTGTTTTGTGAGGATCATACCATGTATCAGATGAAGCTATCCAGGTCGGCCCAACATGAACCAGTCAGAGGATTATGGTGCAGGGTCTGTGAAACTTGCTACAAGTCGAGGGAGGGATACAACGACCACAATGGTAAGGCCTCTTTTTTACTTAGAAAACAATAATGGGCATGAGACTAACTTCCTTCCAGGTCTGGTGAGAGATCGCATGAGTGAGTTCAAAGCGATGAGGAAGCAGACAGTCGACAAGGACTTGCTGGAAGTTTCTCGCTTGGAGAAACGCTTGACACGACTCACGCAGCTGCTTGCAAGTTTGCCTGCGGAGCAGATTCAATCGAGCACGAATAAATTGTGGTCAATCTCATGGCAGGGTGATCAACGGAAAGCCCTTGAGCAAACAATAGTGAGTTGGCAGGATGACTCTAGTGTTTCCCGGTGTCCGTTTTGCCAGCAAGACTTCACCAGCTACACTTTCCGAAGACACCACTGCAGGACTTGCGGGCGAGTCGTATGTGGTGATCCAGCAACTGCATGTTCCACGGAGGTCCCTTTGAGCATTTCACCTCGTATGTCAGATCTGCGAAACTACCTATCTTTCGGTTATTGACTGGACATAGTTGCAAAAACATCAGCAGAGAAGTCGCCCCGCACGGGCGTGATTAATGTCGATATCAGACTCTGTAAGGAGTGCCGATCGACCTTATTTGACCGGCGAGACTTCGAAGCCGACATTATGAGGAAGCCGCCAGCTGTGCGGGCATATGAAAATCTCACTCAGTTCGAGAGAGGCATTCGGATTTTGCTCCCTAAATTTCAGAAGATACTAGGGGCCTTGCAGTATGTACTTCTTTGCTCATGAGCGCACAAGAGGATCCAGCGACCACTGACATCCAATCTCTCTCACAGAGATCCTAGGCGGCCTCCATCTTCTGCGCAGATTGCAGAGGCTTCAAAGGTCCGTAAACGATTGACAGATTCGTTTGCCCAATATGACGTCGCTGCTCGCCGAGTTCGCGATATGCAGACAGACTCCCCCACCCAACAGCGACTACAGAAGGCTATATACCAACAAGCCAGCAATTTCCTCCACCTTCACATGCTCCCTCTCAAATCCTTACCCAGAGTCCTCAAGCATGCATCTCCCAACGGGGGACTGTCTAACTCCACAAGCTCCCCCGCTAGCCCTAGCCCTAGCAACGGTTCACTTGGTGGCCCTCAACGGCAGGGATCCGCTCTTGCGTCGATCAAATACGGCAATCTTGCCGCTAGCGGCAGCAATGCCAGTCTCGCTAGCGATACCAGCAGCGCGGTTTCCGCACTGGAAGCCGAAGAGAAGTCGCTTCGGGAGCGGCTGATCGTACTGGAAGAGCAGAAGTTCTTCGTATCAGAAATGATTGCGGATGCAAACAGACGCCGCAAGTTCGATGAGGTTAGCAGTCTTGCTATGAACATCGAAGATCTCACCCGAGAGATTGATCGAGTCAACGGAATGCTGGACGGCTTGGACTTTGAGGGCGTGTACACCGGTGCTCATCAGCAAGCCTGAAGATTCTGATGAAGGACCGGAATTCTTCTCTTGGCATTCCATTGCTCGCTATTACCATTTTGGCTGCAACCACGATGCAGGTCCCTTCTGACAGCATTTTACTATATATTGCTCTTGGCCACAGCGCGGGCGCGGCGTTTGCGGATTGGTTCAATGATGAAAGTTGCATAGCATGGGCGTTGCGTTGTATGCATATGATCGTATATACTTATGATCCCTTCAATTCCGATTTATTTGCCTCATCAATCTCTTTTGACTGCCTCAATTTTGCACTATCAAACGACTTGCTCAATACCAGGAATAGCAGCATCATCTTGGTTCTCGTAGATATATTGCTTTGCATTCGAAATCGCACAAACGAGAAGCCGTCGACGATCTCCTTTCCGATGTATCCACCACAGTCCCAATGCTGAAAATATTGTTTCCATCAGGTTCGTCATCCAGGATGAAAATGTTACAATATAATACATCACTTTAAATTGGGAAACAATCGTGGCACTAGGAGAATTCGACCTACCCGAAACCAAACCATGCAAATGCAAGCGCCCCTCCAATGCCCAGGAGGGGTCCCAGGACTATTATACTGCATGAAGACCAACCCACAGAAAGCTAAGAGACCAGACCTATGACATACCAAACCAATTTTCATCATACAATCAATACCATAGCACAAAAGCAGTCGCACCGTAACACAACAAACACGAAACCTCGTTCCCGAATAATGATGACCGAGCTAGTCTAGTTTCTTCTATGCAACGCCACGCGGAGTAACCGGCAACCCAACCCAACCCAGCCCAACTTTGGACCCTCCCCAGCAAATCAAGCGGCTGGAGTGCGGGAAGGAACTTAAAAAGTACTAACGTACCAGTCCAATACCCCCATCCCAACCCCCTCCCTCCCCTTCCCTTCCCTTCAACCCCCGATCCTAGCCAGCCAGCCAGCCATAATGGTAATGATAATAATAATAGTATGATGTGCAAATGCAGTTTCCAGAACCCCGGTCTGTGAGTAAGAGCAGGGAATGTCGCTGTTAGGTGGTGGCCAATTTTCGAATCGGAGACCCAGTGGATGGTATACACGTGGCATATGTGGTTTGTGCTACGCGTGAGGTTGCTTTTTGGGGTGGGAGAGAGAAATGGGGAGGGAATCTGAAAGAAAAAGGATGTTTGAGTGTGTCTTTGTTGATAATTATCGGATAGCCCACGGGTGTTTTTTTTTTTTTTTTTTTCTCGTATCTGTTATGTGCTGCTGCTCTCTTTTGCTTCCTTATCGGACTTCTTTGCACAGTGCACACACTGTGTACCCCAGTACATACGCTTGGTCGGTAACCTGAGTGGGTACATACATGGTTTAAGTGGGTGAACGATTGGAGTGAGTGGGTTTCGTTCGCCTTTTCTTTTGCCCCTCGATAAATGCTAGACTATTAAATCGGCGGTAAGGCACATTGTTCTGCCTGATTGTCTGTCTGTTCGCCCAATTCGCACATTTCTTCGTGTATTTCTCTCGTCGATCAGTTACACAGTGCTGTGGGCAGGTAAAAAGGCTTGTTTGTCGCTGGGCCACATCTGTAGTGAAGAATGTCATAAGGTCGTGAAGCTTAGGAATTTCTGCTGTTAACAATAACCAACCCGACTTAATCTCCCTTCCATTTACTCATCTCGACTCCTGCAATTGTGCGCGCTATCATGGCCGAATCCGAGTCCCCACCTGGCCCCAAAGACAAACTAGAGGTTGCCTTGTTCCTTGCCGCTAGCAAAGGGTATGATACCATTGTCACGCTGCTCTTAGGTACCCCTGGCGTGACTCTGGACTGCAAGGATGAATTAGGTCGGACGCCATTCTTCTGGGCCGCCGCCGAGGGCCACGACAAGGTCCTCCAATTGCTCCTGGGCACTGGCGCGGTGGACCCGAATATAAAGGACGCTAAGCGTGGCCAGTCAGCAATATGTGCAGCTGCGGAGGGCGGCCACGAGAGCGTTGTGGCTCGATTGCTTGGTGTCGGGGTGGACTGCCATGCCGCGGACTCTCAAGGGAAGACACCATTGGCATATGCGGTCGAAAGAGAGAGTGCATCAATCCTGAATATACTGCTGCAAGCGGGGGCAGATCCCAATGTGAAAGATGAGGGCGGCATGATCCCGTTGTCGACTGCGGTAGAGAAAGGCAATTCTGATATCGTTGAAATGCTATTGAAGGCCGGGGCTGATCCCAATGCTGTGGCTTCGAATGAGTGTCCGCCGTTGTTGTCGGCGGTGCAGGCTGATAATGAAGTCATCGTGCAAATACTACTAGAAGCGAAAGCGGATCCTAATCTTAAAAGCTCAGAAGGCAAAGCGCCCCTATCGTGCGCTGTCGAAGCAGGAAATGAAACCATGGTGCAATTGCTGCTGAAAGCAGGAGCCGACCCCAATGAGAAAAATCCAGAAGGACAAGCACCGTTGTCATGCGCCGTCGAAGAGGGTAACGAAATAATTGTGCAGATGCTGCTGAAGGCAAAAGCAGACCCCGACGTGAAGAATTCAGAAGGAAGAGCACCACTGTCATGCGCAGTGGAAGCGGGGGACGAGGTCATCATGCAGATGCTGCTTCGGGCTAATGCTGACCCTGATGTGAAGGACGGGGATGGGAGGCCTCCGTTATTTTGGGCAATCGAAAAGGGATCCGAGGAGGTAGTACGGTTGTTGATTGCGTCTCGAAGAGTAGACCTCAATGCAGTTGATGACGGTGGCCGTTCTGCGCTGTGGTGGGCTGCAATGTCTGGGCAATTGAATATCGTCCGGCTGCTAGTTCGGTATGGAGCAGATATGGAGCTGCAGCCTTCCTCGGGAGAAAAGTACGAGCAATGTGGCACGCCTTTGTACCAGGCTGGCCGTCGGGGCCACTTCGATGTGGTCAAGTATCTGATAAAGAAGGGAGCGAACATTAATGCTCCGGCTGGAGAACCAGGTCTGTCGCTACTGATATCACTGGTACTCTTTGACCGAACGAAAAGGGGCAGACGGATGCTCGAATTGCTGCTCGATAGAGGTGCGGACATTAACTCACAGGACGCCTCCGGGAAGACGATCCTGGATCTTGCAGCAGCAGCCGGCGATGTCGAGCTGGCCGAGCTGGCACTAGAGCATGGGATAATGTTAGAAGCCACCGCGAAGGACGGCATGACGGCTCTGCATCGCGCCGTACTACATCAGCACGATATCATTATGGACATGCTCTTGGACGCTGGCGCTGATGCCGAAGCACAGGATGGTAACGGGGATACACCACTACACTTTGCGGCAGCCAGTGGTCGCAGGGGTCTCTTTGAGCTATTTCTGGAGAAATCTCCCGACATCAATATTACTAACTTCTCGGGTGAAACTCCACTGCATAAAGCCGTGCAACGGGGTCGTCGAAAGATGGTTGAGTATATGCTGCATAATGGAGCGGACGTCAGCATGCGCGATGATTATCAACGAACACCACTCCATAAGGCCGTGGGGTCAGAGAACAACGTTATGAGGTTATTGGTCAATCGGGGGGCGGATGTTCATGCGAGAGACATGTTCGGCCAGACTGCTCTTCATATGGCAGCAGAGGCCGGGCTAGCAGAGGATGTTTACTTCCTTTTGGGTCACGGAGCAGCCGGGGATCTACCAGATGACCGTGGTCGAACGGCACGGGACTTGGCTGTAAAGGCAAAGAAGAAGAATGTCATCAGGGTATTTGAACGGATGGAGTTGATGGTTGCGAAAGATTCGGAGGAGTCCTCTTCTGATGCTTCGTCTGATGAATGAACGCATGTAGATAATCCAATCCCCGAATTTGGTTTAGAGACCGATCTTGAGGTCCCGGTACATTTACTGATTGTTAATTTTCTGAGGAATGGCGATTTGTTGAAGGCCTTCCAGGTATATGCGTCTTTCTAGATTGTCTTAGCTGGGTCTTTCCAATCCAGTAACTGGAAAGACTATAAACCCCCCCCCTCCCCCTCTTCTTTCCTCCCTTCTCTCTCCCTCTTCCACTCCTTCAACTTCCCTCCCATGTCCCATCCCTTTTCTCTCGCCATTCTAATTAGGTGGTTCAGAAAGACTGGCTCTAATTTCTAATTGTAAAAAGCAAACTTGACTCCACGAACGATGGGCACGCAGAGTGCAAAGCTAGAGGGAGTAGGTCAATTAAGAGCAAGATTATCTTATACGAGCGTCGGAGATCTCCATCAAAATACTATAGACAGGCCTAGCATTGACTTATTATTCTCTAGACTACAAGATTTCTGAGTGTAGATGGGCTCATGGGCTAAGTAGTTGCACTATCCTCATGAACTTAGTCAGTTTGCTCTTTTTTGTTTACACTCATTATGATACGAAAATTCTCATCCGAGTCTCACATATACTTCATCTTCGGCGGGCTCCCTAAGCCGTGGCGCCATCTTCCTCCTTCGCCCCATATCTTGTACGAAGAGTCTCTGTAACCAACTTGGCGATGTTGCCAACCGTTCTCGCCTTGATGATGTCCCCGAGCGGGACCTCTACCTCCACCTTACGGCGCAGCCAATGTTTAATCTGCAAACCCATCAGGGAATCTACCTCAAGACTACCGTATTGGTCTAGGCCCATCTCCTCGGTCAACCCATTATGCGTAGCGATCTGCTCGCCGAGTTTTTCGATGATTAAGGCCTCACATGTGCCGTCAATTAGGGGTGTGGGGTCGTCTCGAAATGACAGAAGTTGCCGCTGCAATTGCTCGTCGTCAATATCCCCGGTGGTCGATGCGACGGTCCCTGTTGGAAGAGTGGAAAACCGCGCATCCTGTCGGAGCCATGGATCACCCGTCATAACGGCCGGAGAAAGTCCAGAGACCACTATTGCCGGACGCGTAGGGGACAAACCATCTGTTGCCGAGAGAAGAGCCAGCTGGAATGCCTTCAGCACATCTCCTTCCCCCATCATGTGGTGGGATGCTTGACGTGCTTTAGACAGAAGCTCCGGCTGTTGTGACATAAGACCCATTTCATCGACTGGCCCAAGACTGACTAGCGAAGCAGGTAGGCCTAGTCCTCGACGATACTGAACAAACCCATCTAAGAAGGAATTCGCAGCGGCGTAATTGGCCTGTCCCGGGTTTCCAATTATGCTGACTGCGGAGCTGAATACAATGAAGAAATCTAGGGATCGGTTCTTAAGAGCACTGTGAAGGTTCCAAGTCCCTTGGACCTTGGTTGCTAGACTTGTGGTCCACTCTTCGTATGACATCTTGTCGAATAGTTGATCCTGCGTACTGAGTTAACGCTCTACAATCTGTAGGGTTTGGGATAGCTCTGGTTACCTTCAGGACAGCTGACATCTGAATAACACCGGAGATTAGACGTCCGTTGTTTTGAATAGCGCGCTGAACGGTGTCCGCATCTGTTACACTTCCGGCCACCATCACCACGCGGCATCCTTGACTTTCAAGCTCTTGAGCAAACAACTGATCCTCTTCACGGGATCCGGCAGATTGAGAAAGGAATACGAAGTCGCGAGCTCCATGCTCCACCATCCATCGGACGACAGCCCGGCCAATGCCTCTCAAGCCACCAACAAGCAGGTACGAGGACGTCGGCGAGAAACTGAACCGGGCCTGTGCGGGAAGTAATTGATATTTGCTCTCATCGTCCGGCATTTCAAGCACGAATTTTCCAATGTGCTGCCCCTTCTGCATCTGTCGCATGGCTTCTTCAACCTGGTCCACTTGGAAAAGTGTGTGCAGAGGTCTGTGCGCTGTTTCATCTAACTTCTTGATAGCTGTTTCAAGGGCCCTGGTAAGACATTTAGTTTCTGGAACACTTTGAGTATTGAGCAGGTACAACATACCACCTCGCTGTTGCAGCATCGTCATAGGCCACACTATACAAGTCGAAGCCACAGTATGAACGACACCCTTGAAAGCCATTAAGGTCAAGCATGCCATGACCCAAGATGTCTTTTTTCCCAATCTCGATCAATTTGCCGAATTGAGCAACACATTTCCATGACGCTCGCAGAAGCTCCCCAGCTAGCGAATTGAGCACCAGATCGACGCCCCTGCTATTGGTTTCCCGCATGATCCCAGAGAGAAATGAAACACTATGTGAATCGAAGATGTGCGAGCGTGGAATCCCAAATGTCTTCATCAGATACTCGACTTTTTCGTCGCTACCAACCGAAGCAAACACCTATTCCCCTTATTATTAGAGCATAGCATACGGGGGGTAAATGTGTTGACATACCTCGGCGCCGATGCTCTGGCAGATATGCACTGCCGCCAGTCCGACTGCACCACACGCGGAATGAATCAAGACAGACTGATCCTTCTGCAGCTTTCCAATACCTATCAGTGTATATATAGCCGTCAAATAAGCACTTGGAGTGGCGGCAGCTTCTGCCAACGTGAGACGCTTGGGAGCGGGGATCACCCGATCAGCCGGAAAGACTGCCAGGGTCTTCGTCGGTTGCGGGTCAAAAACGACGACTGGATCACCGACTCGGAATGTTGTCACCTCTGATCCCACGCGAGTCACAAAACCGCTTCCCTCGAAGCAGAAATCCATTGTCTTAGTTCGTTCCACAACACCCAGAGACATCATAAGGTCTTTGAAGTTGAGCGCCAAATAACTGGCCTTGACTTCGACGTCTTGTGGACCGACCTCTTCCCTAGGAATGGGTTTCCATCCAAGAGAGCTCAAATCTCCGATAGTTTGGATATCTAACAGATACGAATTTGGCTTTTCCGTGGCATGGAGGTGATCTACGACCTTGGTGAGGGCTGCACGACCGGTATGGCCTGCGCCCCGATGTAGTATGAACTCGAAATCGCGGACTGACTTTCCCGGAATTGGCTTACCCAGCTGCTTGTACGCTTGAATCACCATAGGAGTTGCGGTCTCGTCAAATGAGTCAATCTCACACGTGCCAATATCAACATTCAACTCACATCGCAATGTGCGCGTGAGGCCCAGGATGAGGCAAAACCGAGGGTCCTTGCATTCCATCTGCATCGAATGAGTCACCCAGAGGAGACGCTTCACTGAGGACATCCAGCCCTGAATCGTATTGTAGGTAGATTGGGACATGTCATCTAGGAATGGGCTTTTAAAATCGAGTAATGCGATAACATCTTCAGTGGGGAGCTCTTCTCCAAAAGTGCACCAACACACGTCATATCCGTCGGAGGACAGGCAACCCGCCAGACTCTGTATCCAAGAGTGAGACCTTGTCTCTGATCTGCAAAGCAGGTTGATAGATTCGCGTGGAGGTTTGATCACGGGGTTTGTTGTTAGCATCAGTGCCTGCCAGTGGAGTGGCGCCGGTGCATTGTAACGGACACCGTCGAGCCCAGAAAAACCTGCCCGGCAAAATTCCTCTTCCCAGCGCTCCACAGAAACGTGAGGCTTGTCCCCCCGGTAGTCGCCCATGCCCAACCAATAGCCTGGAAGAATTCCCATGATGGCATCAACATGTGGGATTTCGGAGCAGGGCTCGTACAAGAGCAACCGCCCCCCAGGCACAAGTAGAGAGCGGATCTGCGCCAATGACTCGCTAAGAACAGGTGTCTCACATAGGACATTGCACGCAATCACTAGATCGTAACAATTCTCTGTGAAGCCCTGGTCTGTCACACTCTTTGAGATATCCAGTGTTTTGTACTCCACTTTTGGTACACTTTCAAAACGCTCTTCCAATTGCTTGACCAGCCCAGGTACGCTGTCGGTTACCATAAATTGACTAAAGAGACGATCACCGTGATCAGTAGTCAAGCTTTCCAGAATTGTGGCTGTTGCCGAACCAGCCCCAGCTCCAACCTCCAAGACGCGCAGATGAGGATTCGCGTGGGCAAGAGGACCAAGGAATCTGTTCCAGTCGTAAAGCTCAAGGCCCCACTCAACAATCCCCCTGATGGTCTCTAAGAGCGTGGTGTCTTGAAAGATGCTTCCGCTTATCAGCTGGTCCGGATGCTCACTGGCATACGCCCAAGCGTCGCTATAGCATCGTTCAACCCTAGCATCGGGATATTGGCCCTGCAAGGATTTGAACAGGGCCTTGCGTTGATCCTTATCCATGTTCTTAATCTGCTTGACACCTGGAATATGGTCATATTCTCCCTGGAATACTTTCCTGCCTATGTCCATACTGAGTTTTCTGTAATTCTCCAAGTGAGAGGGTAGCGAAGTCTGAGATCCCAGAGCATCTATCATCTCGAATATTAAGAGAAATCCGGCTATGGCCAGAGATTGAGTCTTCTGTTGGCTTATGTCAATGGGCGATGGTACTTGTTGGGCCGCCGGCAGGAACCTAATATCCGGCTTCCATTGGATATGTGTTGCAAACTACGATCCTTTCGTTTCTTGGCCAGCTTCCGGTATAGGCAATAAGCGCAGTCCCTTCATTTCCAGAACGATGTCACCCGTTGACTCAGAAACTACTTTGTAGTATCCACTTAAACTTTCTTTTGTTGAATCAGTCGTCGTCGCCTCGACGAGCATTGAGCTGCTTCCTGGGGCCAGGTACACCCGGTCGATATACAACGGCATGCCCGCCTTGTCAGGATAGTGCGAGGCCCCCTTGTCACTGGCAACCAGCATTACTTGAAGACACTGATCCACAATTGTTGGGTGTATTGCGTAATAGCTGTCATGGAGTTCGCGGTCATCCTCCAACCGCCCACGAGCTGCATTCGTTAGTGGACTTGCAGTAATACCTTGCAGTCCTTCGAACCGGGACCCATATTCAAGGCCTTTTTTCTCGCATCTGCGGTACCATTGGTACGATGAAATATGTCTGGTGAATGGCTCTGAAATCTTGTTAGACGGAAGGGGCTGGTCTGTGCTTCCTCTCACCTTCCCAGAGCAATGCTTAGTCCATCCTTGACCATTGTAAGAACATACCGTGAACTCATACCAGTCCGAGTCCATAGTAGCATTCAATGTCATCTTTCGTAGCGTTGTCATTATTTCAATTTCATCCTCATCTCGAACGAGGGCTTCCATGAGCAGAACCTGCTCTATTGTGCAGGTAGTTTGGCCAGTTATTTGGCGTATGGCTTCCGATGCCAATGCCACGTATCCAACGGCTGGAAATACGACAAGGCCCATCATGCGATGGTGGTTAATCCAGGGAACCTCCTCACCCTTCAGGATATTTCGCCATGCAGGCTCGAAGTCATTGGATTCCAGGCATGGCGCTCCGAGAAGCTCATGACGGGGGAATTGGCGCAGGCGCCATTGTTTACTGATGCGAGTTTCCGCCCAGGGGATTTCTTCGCGCTGCCATGAATAGGGAGGAAGGTCAGTGAGTATTTCGCCCTGATACCCACCATTGACAGCGAGAAGATCAACAGGTAGGTGGTTGACATAAGCTGTTCCAGCGACAGAGAGGATGCGAGACAGGTTACTTTCGTTGCTTCTCATTGTCGCACAGTATGTAAAGCTCATGCTGACTGAGCGGAGTATTTGCTGGATTGGCCCCCGGAGTGCTGAGTTAGACCCTATCTCTATCACGACCTGGTGTTTGCTCTGCGTGGATGTGGCTAAGTTCTGAAAAGCAGAGGAGAACAAGACGGGGGATTCCAAGCTTCGTCGTCAATACGCCGCATCAAGCTCACTAGGCTGTGTGATTACTGTTCCAGTTACCGTTGAGTACATTGGGGTCATTTCCTCGGGATGGCTGACTAGGTGATGCCTTGAGAGCTCTTCGTACTCGGCACCCACGGAAGCCATAAATCCTGGAAACCCATTTAGCAGGGAATCTGACTGCGTATGTTTTATATGACTCACCGGAGTGATACGCCCGCTCAACCGGTAGCATTTTCGTAAGAGTGTCCGGCTGTTCATTTTGGATTCGAGTTGCTACACATTCCAGCTGATCACGGCTCCCAGCAAGGGTGACGCTGTTCGGGCTATTTTCGCATGCCAATTCCACTGCGTCGCCCAGATATTGACTGATACTGTCTCTGCCAACCGCCACTGCGAACATGCCTCCCTCGGGAGCCATATTGGCAATTAACCCGCGAGTATAGGCCAATATGATTGCCGTGGCCATGGACAAGGCGTTGGCTGCATAGGCCGCTGCGAACTCTCCACTGGAATGACCTATGACTTTGTCTGGGGTGATTCCCCATGATTTGAGAAGATTTACCAAACTGATTTGAACCGCAGTGCACAGAGGCTGTGCTATATCGGGTCGGTTAATGTCACTCTCGGGGTCTATTTTAACCAACTCCTCTTCAGGATGGCGCTGTCAATTGTCAGTGGAACCGCCACGCAAATTTCGGAACATTGGGGCCTATACCGTGCATCCTCCACGTGGGTGCGTTGGGCAGACTCTGCAGTACCCGGTCCATGTATTCTACGTCCTTCCTGAAGGACGTAAAGTTTTTCATCAACTCCGCACCCATTCCTGCCCACTGAGCTCCCTGGCCAGGGAAAACAAATGTCACGATTTTTGATCCATTCTTTGTATTGTCGGCTTTGGTGAATTCAATAGAATCAAGTGGAACTTCTCCACCGGTAACTGCGAATGCCCTGTGACGAAGATGCTCTCGCTTTGCATAGAGGGTATAAGCCAGATCGGGCACTGCCTCATGATGACGGGAAATGTATTCTTTTATGTCCATCGCCCGCTGATCAAGGGACTTAGGGCCACTAGCTGACAATGGCAAGAGTCGCAGACTATTGTTGTTCGTCCCCAATGCCGCTATTGCCTTTGGGGGCATCATCGATGCGGCTGAATCCACAATGACCTATTCTGTGAGCCTTTGGTTCCTTCCAGGTGCGTAAGGTGACCTACATGGGCATTGGTACCACCAACCCCGAAGCAGTTGACACTGACTCGTTCTTTGCGGTCGGCTGGCCAGGGGAGAACATCAACAGGTACCGTCAAACCTGCTTCGTCAAACAGAACTAATGGGGGTAAGCAACTAAATATAGTGCGAACAAATAGAAGGAATCGTACTGTTTGGATTTGGTGTCGAAAAGTTGACGTTGGGAGGAATTTGTCTGTGCTCCAGAGCAAGCACTGCTTTAATCAGGCCTGCGAGACCCGCTGCGCCCTCGGTGTGACCAATGTTCGATTTCACCTGCAATGTAATATTAACAACTGGTCATTCGCAGGTTTGTTACAAGCTTACCCCTCCGATAATCATGGGATGGCGTCCGAAGGCATCGGCCACGGCAGTGGTTTCAACGACATCCCCCACCCGGGTGGCCGTGCCGTGACATTCAACAAATGCGGTCTCTGCAAGATTTTCGAGATGGGCCTTTCGGTAGGCCTTCCGGATCAGCGCCTCTTGTCCGGCCGATGATGGGACCGTGATGTGGTTTGTTCGGCCATCAAAATATGTCGCAACCGCTCGTATGACGCCACGGACTGGATCTTTGTCACGGATGGCATCGTCTAGCTTCTTTATATACAAGGCGCATACTCCCTCCGCTCTGGCGTAACCGTTGGCTTCCGCATCGAATGTTTTACAGATCCCATCAGGAGACAATGCCCCGGCCTGTGACATATTGGTCGTCATTGTGGGAGTGTATATCAGGCTGGAACCTCCAACTATCGCTGAAGGGCAGTCGCCGAGAGCAATTGCCTGACATGCCTCGTGGAGAGCCACAAGCGAGGATGAGCAAGCAGTTCGACAAGTCATGCACGGGCCCTTGAGGTCGTATTCGAATGATACTCTGTTGGATACCGCATAGTCCCCAGTTCCTACGACGTGGAGCGGGTTCAGGTTTTGGGTGTCCTTCGCTGTGAGATCTAGCCAGTCCTCCCCAAAGGTGCCTACAAAACATCCAATTTCCTTGCCTTGCCAATTGACTTGTCCGCCGCTCTCCATGCACTCCCAAACCACTTCCGATAGAATAGTCTGTTGGGGGTCTACAAACCCATGCTCGTATCGATTGTTATGGAAAAAGGAAGTATCAACTTTTCCCAGATAGTCGCCGTCAAGAAAAAAGCCGTGCTTGGCAATTACCGATTGTGTATCCACGCCAGGAGTCCCGTGGAAGGCGTCCACGTTGTATCTCCCCGCAGGAACTGGAGCGGATGCGCATCTCTTGTCAATCATAAATTGCCAAAAGTCTTCGGGGGATGAAATGCCACCAGGCAGCCGTGCAGCCATTCCGACGATGGCGATGAGAGGGGGAGCCTCGTGAGTCCATTGATCTTCTGAACTCTCGCGGAATTCATGCGGGTCGACGGTTGTCCAGCCCGGAGAATTGCTAGCAGTATCGCTGGATGCCATGTCGTAGAGTAAAGAAGGGAAAGCGATTTTGATGGTGCAGGATACTTGGTTCTTTGGACTGGTTTTTGTGGCAGGGTGCATGAAGCTTTATAAGATATTTCCCACTGAGCAATCACAAAGTATTTGCTCATATCCATCGTTCTCGGTCAGTATTCACTCCCTTGCCGTGCTGGCAGGCATGACGCCTGTATGTATTCGCAATGCCCGCCAGCCCACCGCTCTTTCCAAAGTATAATAACTCCGCGACCAATACAGTCTTACATAAATGACAAATAAGACATGTGTCTGACTGATTATTGGGCACCCGATCAAGCTCAATGCTCCTCCTGGTGAATTCTGCGCCAGTGCGTGGATGCGGGTGCGTATGAGCCTGAGGTGGTGATGTTTTCTATTCATTCCTCGCCATTAGTATAGATAAGAGATTAGGTTTCACGTGGTATCTGATTACTTGTTGTCGCTAAGATCATTTATTCCGAGGATTTTCAAATCTAATCTCAAATATGGGGCTCTATTCAACAGCAAAAGAAATATGATCACCGATAAGGGCGTTTGACAACATCCTACGCATCAGCTGGTCCGTTGCGCACTTCAGAACGAGTTCAGCTGCGCTCTTTTTTCTTTTTCTCCAGAATGACCGACCCAATCACTGAGGTGCCCTCTTTCTCTGCACAATACACCGCTATTTTGAAAAGATAATTGCTATTTTCAAGAGGTAAAAAGCAATTGACAAAAGATTTGCCATCCTTTATTACTTCTTCCGACCGGTCGCTACAAACCCAGTGTTTAAAGAACCACCGACATGATGAACATCGCACAGCCGTTATTATCGCTGGAGTGACACGACATGGTGAACATGGACCTCAGCATCCTAAGAATTTATATATGCTTATTGGCGGCTTTCATCGTCGTCTTCATCTTCGGACTTGCTTTCTATCGACTCTACCTCAGCCCCTTAGCTAAATTCCCTGGTCCTCGGTTGGCCGCTGCGACGGGGCTCTATGAAACTTACTATGATGTTGTTCGCGATGGTCAATTTTCCTCGCACATCGAGCGTCTGCATCAGACATATGGTCCGATTGTGCGCATCAAGCCGTGGGAACTTCACGTGAAAGACCCGGACAACTACAACACGCTGTACGCAGGAGTGACGCGAAAGCGAAACAAGGACAGCTGGTTCTCGTTTGCGGGATGGCCTGATTCAATCTTCTCAACCAATGGACACGCGTTGCATCGCTCCCGACGAAGCGTGTTGGCACAGTTTTTCAGAAGGCAGGCAATCCTGGATGTGCAACCGCTTATTCGGGAAAATATCCAGGCTTTGTGTCGTCATTTTCGCAAAGCGCAAGCGGGGTACCATAGTTTAGAGCTCTATACTACGTTTTCTTGTTTTACGAGTGATACTATATCGCAATATGCTTTTGGGAAACAGAATGGCTTTCACTATTTAGGTGAGGCCGAGCTGGATGTGGCTTGCAAGTCAAAAGCGCATTCTATCTTTGAGCTTTCTCAGAAGACAAGACATTTCCCCTGGCTTTGCAAGCTGGTGCACTTCTGCCCTTGGCCAGCATTACTTATGGATGCTGATTTTGCTAGGGTCTATGCCCAGGAAATGGCAAGTGGCTTTCGGGTGGGTATTTGAGATTCTAAAGCTAATGGGAATCCAGGAAGTTCAAAGTATGGTTCGCAAGGCCATACTGGGACGTGGTACGGGGTGCAGCGAGAAGCCCAAGCCAATCTATCCTGCAATCCTGAATAACGAGAAAGTACCTGAGGATGAGAAAAGGCTCGCCCGCCTGACTGATGATGCGATTTTCTTGGTACAAGCCGGTATCGATGCGCCAGGAAGAGCATTGGTTTTGACTTTATATTACATTCTGTGAGATCCAGAGGTGCATAAGAAGCTTCGCTCTGAGTTGTGTGCTGCTTGGCCAGATGCGACAATGGAGCCAGGACTTATAGCTTTGGAACAGTTGCCTTATTTTGTATGGCTCTCTCCTTGGAACGATACAACCCCAAGGTGAAACGGCTAACCCAGCATCAGACTGCCGTGTTGAAGGAAGGACTTCGATTATCCTCTCTCGTCAGCACACGTCTTCCACGTGTCGCACCGGATGAGGAATTGCATTTCCATGGATACGAAATCCCACGCGGAGTAAGCCAAGATTTTCTCTCCCCTCCAGTGCTCTAATCATAGCTAAATGGTTATGTTAGGTTCCCGTGAGCATGACCACCTTTTTTATTCTCCGTGATTCAATACTTTTCCCCGAGCCGTTACAATATATCCCCGAGCGCTGGCTTCTGGAGCCAGAGGACTTGCGAAAGTTGGAGCGGTACCTAGTTCCATTTTCCAAAGGGACCTTGGGGTGTGTGGGCCAGAGGTAAGTTGCCACCGGAAGGCATCTACAGAGGCAGGCCGAAGCTAATGGGGCGCAGTATGGCTTGGGCATGGTTGTATATGGTGCTTGGGGCACTCCTGCGAAGGTTTGAGATGAGACTCTATGATACGACGGAGCGTAACGTAACTCCAGTCAGGGATAAATTTCTCTGGCAGACGGAGCCTGGACTGAATCGGGTTCAGATCAAGGTGTTGAGGGAGTATTCATAAGCAATATTGGGGACAATGTAGTGCCTGCGAGTTAAGGCCTTTTAACAGTATGGTATTGTATAGAGGTTGTGTATCTAGGGTATACACTGGGTAATAGACAGGGCGAGTCATAGAAGAAATGATGTTTGACTCACGGTCTCGTCCTTAGGTCGAGAGTTAGATAACTGATAACAGGGTTAACAGAAAAATCCGCATATTTTTCGAACCTGTATGGCTCCCTCATCTCATTAGGACACGGTACTGTTAAATTTATAGCTTTACGACGAGATCCAGTTCGAATTTCGTAAGTTTTATTGGTCAAGTCTAATCAAGTGATGTCTGGACTGGCTTCTATTGGACTGCACATGGTAGGTGGGCATCTCATTTCTGGTTTAGCAGGGTAGTAGGTAGCAGGCGTAAAATGCTTCTCGCATGTTCCCAGGCCGTCCGTCACCAACAAAAATTTCGATTTCCGCCTGCATGCAGACCCCAGGTTGCTCGAACAAAAAGACTAGATATGTATCTTTCCATCTGGTTACTGCTGAGATACCTAATCGAGTCGATCCATTCAAATATCACAAAGGTAAAAATGTAAAAAAGAAAGCCCAACGCGGGGCTCGAACCCGCAGCCTTGAGATTAAGAGTCTCACGCTCTACCGATTGAGCTAGCCGGGCAAAGGGAAAGAGGAAGTTGAACAGCCCAACGCGGGGCTCGAACCCGCAGCCTTGAGATTAAGAGTCTCACGCTCTACCGATTGAGCTAGCCGGGCTAGTTCGGTGAGTGGTTGTTTTTGTAGTATGCTACATATTCCTTAGAGTAATGAGCTGGTAGGCAAAGCGATTTCGCCGTCTGCTGATTGAAGTAGTAGCCCGGCAAGCTTGGACCTGTCACCTATTTCGTAACGACTGATAGTAGTAGTATGTGTATTACCAAACATTTTGGCCCATAATAGGACTTCTCACTACTGGTATAAATATGAACTCATGGTGCTATGGTTGTAGACGATGTGATTGGCGAGCAGTTGGCTTGCAGCGCAGCTCACCAGAAATATATATCAATTGCTGCTGAAGTGAGACCTCAGTCATCCTAAGTCGCATCAAGTGACTTATCAGACTACTATGAGAGCTGAGTACAGCAGTGACCGGAAAGTCATTTCAAAAGATAACATTCATTAATTAAACGAGAAGAAAGAAGCCAAGGTGTAAGGAAGTAAGCCCCTACAAGGATGGTTATCCACCTTCTCCCGGGGTGTACCTGAGGGTATCAATCATAGCGCCAAGATTACCGGAAATCTGCTGTTACACGCTCACACCACTTCTCCAATCCTACCGCATTGCCATCATCGCCCTTGCTCATTTCCTCAACCAGATCCCCTCGGGGACAGGGATGCCACCGGCCAAACGGAATAATATACCTGCCGCTATCCGCAGCCGTGACCTCTGAACTGCAACCCGCCCACAGCAGCGAGTTGGCACCCTCCGGAGCCGTGTAGAAGATGGGCTTGCACATCCACACCACCAGCTTGGGCGCATCGTCATAAATGCCGGTGTACGCGTTGGCCGGGTTGACCGTTACGCTAACCACAGCCTTTTCGTCTTTGCCGGCTGCAGCAGCGAACTTCTTAGCAAACCGATCCGTCAGGAACCAGTTGCCCGTTTTGCTGATCGCATAGTTGCGGTACACGTTGCTCGATGGGTTATCGAGTTCCTTGGCGGGCACGCCGCCGCGCGGCGCCAGGGTTTCGACGATCATGCTGCTCGGTCCAGATTGCATATTACCGCGGTAAAGCCGCTGTAGATCTGCAGGATGACTTGCGACCGAAGCTGGGGATGCTGGCGGCGGGTCTAAGCGATACAAGCCCTCTTCTACAGCAGATACTCGAGCGTCACTCTGGGGCCGTTGCTCTGGCCTGTATCAACTCTCCGCAAAGCGTGACTCTATCAGGCCACGTTTCAGCTCTTGAGACCGTGGGCCACCTGCTCCATGAGCACGGCCATTTTGCGCGTCTGCTGCAGGTAGACCTGCCGTACCATTCTCCCTTCATGGCTGACATTGCAGCCCACTACAAAAGCTTGCTAGATGCTAGGGAGGCTGATTCGTCGTCTCCAGCTTCGCCGCGGCGCCGCGGTGCTAAGTTCTTTTCATCCGTCACAGGGTGCGTGATGCAGGGTATGGTGGACAACTTGTATTGGGAAGCGAGTATGAAGTTACCAGTGCGCTTCAGCGTGGCAGTAGAAGCCATGCTGACCGATGCGGATCCTTTGGATTTCCTCATCGAAGTAGGACCCAGCGGGGCCCTGGCTGGACCCGTCAAGCAGATCCTCAAATCATTGCCATCAAATGGTGCTGGCATTGATTACCACGCCGCCTGCAGACGAAATGCTTTCGAGCCAACTGCATTGTTCGACGTGGCTGGACAGCTCTTCCTGGCCGACGGCCCGATCAATATCAATCAAGTCAATGCCACAGCCCGGGCCAAAAGTGCCCGCGACAGCAAACCTGCGGTTCTTGTTGATCTCCCGAACTATATGTGGAACCATGCAACTAAGTACTGGTGGGAAAGCCAGGCCAGCCGGGATTGGCGCTTCCGCCGATACCCAAACCACGATCTGCTCGGTGGCAAGGTCTTAGGGACCCCATGGACGGCCCCGGTGTGGAAGAAGCTACTGCGCTTGCCTGAGCTTACTTGGTTGTTGGACCACCGAATCGGGGGTCAGGTGCTTTTCCCGGCAGCGGGCTACATTGCCATGGCGGTCGAGGCAGCCTTCCAGATGGGTCAATCGCGAGGGTTCATCGACCAAAACTTGCAGGTTCATAACGTGGCGTACCGGCTTCGCAATGTCACCTTCATGAAAGCGATGGTCCTGGAGGAGGGCACCGACCAGCGCATCATGCTCACCCTTACCCCTGAAGACGAACGCGCGGATTCGTGGCACCATTTTACTGTATTAACGCTACATGAGGACGCTACCACGACCCGCCATTGCTCTGGTATGATCATGCTAGAGACTCCTTACGATGAAGGTATGTTTACTCGTTTGTTTCTGAATTTTTCCCTGTTTACATATACATATACATCTATATCTGATGTTCGACGGTCGCATTTCTAACCCTCTTCTGCCATCCATCTTAGATGCTCCTTGGGAGGCTATTAAGCCATTAGAATACCCCATGCCCGCACAAGCCTGGTACAAGGCCCTCCGGGATGTCGGGTACTCGTTTGGCCCTTCGTTGTAGTCACAACTGGAGGTCGAGGCCGTGGCCGGTCAGCGAACCAACCGAGGCTTGGTTTCCTTTTCAGAGCCCCCGTCTTCTTACCCTCAGTCACCTTACTCAATCCACCCCGTGGCGATCGATGGCTGCCTTCAGTCCGGAGCTGCCTCGCTGTGGCAGGGCATCCGCAGCGCCGTGGGCGGTGCTCTGGTGCCTGCCGTGGTAGATGATCTTCTCATCAACGCCCGGGACGTTGCGGCAGTGCCAGTTGCGGTTGCAGCAGCCTCAGCTGAGTTCTCTGGAGTGGGCAGCCCCGAGGAAGCCCACAACTACCATTCAAATATACAGGTCTTTGACCCGGCTAGTAAACGGCTACTGCTTAAGGTCACGGGCTTGTGGTACCACAAACTCGACGCTAGCCCCGAGTCCCCTGAAAGGCAGCATACCTTCATGCGTTTGCACTGGAAGCCGCAGATGTCCACCTTGAGCGACGGGCAGATGCGTACCCTGATTCAGGCTCGTCGTTCGCTGCAAAAGCCCAGGCCACAACACGATTGCGTCTTCAGGTTCCAGCAAGCCAGCCGCGACGGCAGCAGCAATCTCGTCGGACGAGTGACCAACCACACTGGCGGGTTGGACGCACCAAGTGTTGAGAAGATCAATAATCAGCAATTGAAGGGCTGTCACCAGTGGTTGAGAGAGCTCTGGTTGGCGCACATGATCCGATGATCGGGGACATGTCAACTCATCTAGGAAGGGTTAGTCTGGCCATATAAAGCGACTCCTAGCTCTGGATGACCCGCTAGCCGGGCCATTCTGCAAGGCACAAAAAATAGACATACCATACAAGCTCCACTGGGGAGGATGGGGAAGTGCCTGTAGCACTGCGTCCAAGTGCCGCAGCAGTTGTTGGGAAGACGGGAACGTGTCGACCAGGGCCTTCCCCATCTGCGGCCATTGAGATCCCTGACCGGTGAAGATAAAGCCTACTTTTGGGACGTTGGACCGTAGCTTACCGTAGATCAGGGCATGCTGATCGACTGTGGGGGTATTAGAGACGAGATATGCGCGGTGGAAGTGACGAGTCCGCCGTTCCGACAAGGTGTAGGCGAGGTCCGGTAATGAGACTCGTACTTCCGGCCTGACCAGGTGCATCTGCAGGCGCTGTACCGTTGCTTTCAGCGAGGCCTCGTCGTTGGCCGAAAATACCAGCAGATGGAAGATTTCCTGCTCCTGATCCGCAAACAAATCGTCGTCATCTGTCAGGTATGACGATTTGAATTAGGCCTCTGATGGAGGCACCGACGTACTAGCCTCATCCAGGATGACATGGACATTGGACCCGCCGTATCCATAGGAGTTGACACTGGCGCGGCGAAACGGCACATCCGGCCATTGGATCGTTCGCTGAAAGGCACGAGTTTTGAGGGCCTCGAAGTTAACTGAACTTGATGTTAGCTGGACCCCGAAGCAGTAAATTCGACTGCCAGAATAAAACCAAGGGTTTGATTTCAAAGAGCGCCGCCAAACTTACTAGCCGGGTTGGGTGTCTCGAAAGTAGGGTTGCCGGGGATACAGCGCTTTTCCAGGCTCATTATCGTTTTTATTAACCCAGAGAGTCCTGCAGCTGGCTCTGAGTGACCGACATTACTTTTAATCTAAGCAACCACAAGCGGTTAGTCATTGTCGAATACAGACGCTGTAGCCGGACTTACCGAGCCGATGAGTAGGGGCCGCTCTGCCGTGCGGGTGGCACAAAAGACAGAGGCTACACTGTTGACTTCAATCGGGTCACCCGCGCGGGTGCCCGTGCCATGACACTCGACATAACTTGTGTCATTGAGATTAGAGATGCCTGCATTCCGGTACGCCTGTCTGGTCGCGGCGGCCTGCGCCTCGGGGCTGGGACTAGCGATGCCGGCTTGACACCCGCCCTACATTGCACGTCATTTTCGCCCCCATACGCTAGTAGGGTCAGGGTCTGCAGCCTTGAGAATCCCCAGTATTGTCAGTATTTTTGGTATTTTTGGTATTATTTGTACTATCAGTATCGTCAGTATCATCAGTATTATCAGTATCATCAGTATCATCAGTATCATCAGCAGTGGCCGGTCATATGGTAGTAGTACTCAATATACCGCGAAACAATTGGTCAACATGTCAAGTGGCTCCAGGTTGATTGTCATTGACAAGAGGCAGGAACACGGCTTGGACTCGGCAATTAGTAGTAGTGCTAGGGTTGATAGTATCGCTGAAACCACATAAATACAGAGTCATGAGAAGCAAACCTCTGTCAAAGCAGCATCCTTCCTCTACCCCCAAGCCCTCCTCCTACTGCCATGGTCCGTTCCCTTCATTGGCTAGCCACTTCGGCTGGGCTGGCTTTGTTGCCCTTCAGTCAAGCCATTCCCGCTCTAGTTCAGGGGTCTTCGACATGTCGCTACCTCCCGGGCGACTCCGAATGGCCATCGGCTGCGGACTGGCACCAGTTGAATACCACTGTGGGCGGCCGACTCAGCGCGACGGTTCCTTTGGGGGCGCCTTGTCATGAACCACATTATGATGCTGCCCAGTGCGCGTACTTGGCGGCGGAGTGGATCTATCCGGAGCTGCACGCAAATTCCTCCTCCTCTTTCAGCAATCCTTATTTTCAAAATCAGAGTTGTGATCCCTTTACCTCCAAAACCAGTCCCTGCCTTTTGGGTAACTACCCGGACTATACCATCGATGTCCGCGGTGCCGCTGATGCAGCGGCCGGGGTTACGTTTGCTCGCGAGCATAACATCCGGCTGGTCATCAAGAACACCGGTCATGAGTAGGTTCTTCCCTTCTGATTTGAATGTGTGACGGACATTAACTCCATGCCAATAGTCTTTTGGGTCGATCATCTGGTAAAGGTTCCCTTGGTCTGTGGACTCATCACATGAAGAACATTTCTATCCTGGACTATCACCACCCACGCTACACTGGGAAGGCCATGAAGATGGGGGCGGGAGTGCAAGGTTTTGATGCCTATGCAGCAGCTCACAAGGCAGGCCTTCGTGTGGTTGGTGGAACGTGCTCCACGGTGGGACTGGCAGGAGGATATACGCAAGGCGGCGGACACTCGATGCTTTCCACCCTGTACGGACTGAGCGCGGACCAGGTGCTGGAATGGGAGGTGGTCCTGGCAGACGGACGGCACGTCGTCGCCACGCCAACTGACTACCCTGATCTCTACTGGGCCCTCTCTGGGGGCGGTGGGGGCACCTACGCGGTGGTCCTTTCCATGACAGTCAAAACCCACGCCGATGGGATCGTGACAGGGGCCAGCGTGACGGTGACACAGACCAACTCCAGCGATGCTTTCTGGGAGGCTGTCACTGCCTTTCACACGGCAATGCCTGCGTGGATCGCAAAGGGAGCAGCCACCGCCTATGTGATCATGGACGGCAGCCTGTATCTTATGCCGGCGACATTTCCGGGCTACAACGCAAGCGAGGTAAACGGCTTCATGCAGCCATTTGTGGCCCAGCTGCAGCGGCTAGCCGTCAACTACACGATTTCGGTGAACTCCTTTGATAATTACTACACCTTCTTCGACACCTTCTTTGGCCCCTTACCCGATGGCTCCTACACCAATGCACAGGTCCAGGGCGGCCGGCTGATTCCACGCGAGGTGCTAATGTCGGCGGACTCCAACCGCGCCCTGACGGCGGCGCTGCGCGAGATCAGCTCCAACCGGGCATTCCGAATTATTGGCGTGGGCACAGACGTATCGCGTGGTGGCGATGTACCCAACGCGGTCTTCCCCGGCTGGCGCAAGGCCATTACCTGGATCGAATTAACAGCCGACTGGGACTTTACGCAGAGCTATGCCACCAACGTCGCAAACGAGACGCTGATCACAAACCATTACGATCCGCTGCTGACGCAGGTGACGGGTCTGGCGAACAACAGTGGGGCATACCTAAACGAGGGCGACTTCCAGCAGAAGGACTTCCAGACACAATTCTTTGGGGGCAATTATGCCTCGCTAAAGCAGGTTAAACGCCGATACGACCCCGAGGGGGTGTTCTATGGCACCGCCCTGGTAGGCAGTGATGATTGGGAGGTCGCCAGTGATGGGCGCTTGTGCCGGAGTAGCGAAAATGACTGAGAGATAGATAGGTTACCTTGTAATCACCATATGATGCTAATAGCCTAATAGACCTAATGCAGTGGGGTGGTGATATGATATAGTATTTATCTACCAGTCAAAATAGATCTCTGCGGCGGTTCCTTCCGCTAGCCCAAATACAATACAATTCAATACCACTCGTACGAACAATACGAACCCTATGTATGCCCTCTGTATCCGCCCCCAAACCACCAAGAATCACTAGTAATAAGCATCACCTAACAGTCAACTCTCCGATGCAGTGAAGAGGGGCTAAGTACAAGTGGGCCGCGAAATTGAATCTCACCCAGGGTCTCAATACTAATCCTTTGGTCTAGTAATCATTCCTCGGTTCGCAGTTTATTTTACTTTATTTGATCCAAGTGTTGTCCACCCATCTCACATCCACACTACAAGAAGAAAAGTTATCTACCAATACTACAGCAGATGTCTCTCCTTCCTCTTATTCAGGGCCACTGCGCCCCTCCCTTCTCGCCTCTCCGCAATACCCTGACTGAGAATCTGCAAGCCGGGGAGGAGCTAGGCTTCAGCCTCAGCGTGACCGTCGGCAACGAAACGGTGGTCGATCTCTGGGGCGGATATGCGGACGCTGCGCGCACGCAGCCCTGGACTGCTAACACCGTCACGTGCATTTTCTCCAGCTCCAAAGTCATCACCAACCTGGCAGCAAACATGCTGATTGACAGGGGCCTGCTGGACCCTTCAGCGCCTGTGGCGCGCTATTGGCCCGAATTTGCTGCCAATGGCAAGGAAACCATCCTTGTCAAGCATGTCCTGAGCCACACGGCGGGCCTGCCGGCTTGGGAGCTGCCCATCACGCTGGAGGAGATCTGCGACACCCCCGTGGCAACGGCCAAGCTGGCAGCGCAGCAACCGTGGTGGTCCCCGCCCGGTAGCCACCTGGGGTATCACCCGGCCACACAAGGCGTGCTGGTAGGCGAGCTGGTGCGCCGCATCACCGGCCAGTCGCTAGGGGCCTTCGTCCAGTCTGAAATTGCCGAGCCGTTGGGGGCCGACTATCGTCTAGGTGTACTCCCCGCCGATGAGGAAGGGGACCCCGCCCGTGTTGCTGAGATGGTACCGCAGCCGCAGATGCTTTCACTCGAGGGATTGGACCCGGCCAGCATTATGATGCGCACCACTATGGGAAGCCCCATCCCGCCCCAAGCTGTCAACGGACCAGGTGCGCCGCTGCGTCGCACTGAACTGGGCGGTACCAATGGCTTCTCCAACGCTCGCGCTATGGCTCGCATCGGCTCCATGGTCGTCAACGGAGGTCAGCTTGACGGAAAGCGATTCCTCTCCCCCGAGACTATCAATCGCATCCTGGAGCCACAGGTCGATGCTGTCGATTCGGTCATGGGCAAGCGAATGTCCTGGGGACTGGGCTGGGCTCTTCCCACCTCGGGCAACTCCTACGACTTGGTCACTGATGGGCGCGTGGCTTACTGGGAAGGTTGGGGAGGGTCTATCCTCATCATGGACCTAGATCGAAAGATGTGTATTGCATATGCAATGAACAAGATGGGCGCCAGCTTGGAGGGCGATGACCGCACCCAGGCCTATGTTAAGCAGATCTACCAGATTGTCCGTGACATGCAAGATACTAAGGAGATATAAGACTTTAGTATGTTTTTAACTTAATATGATACCTTTCCTCCCTAGATTGGATATATCATCCAATTCCATTAATAGCAGTATTTTCAAGCCAATGGAACTCTCTCCACCTTGCCAGACATCGATAAAAATACCCAAAGATGTGGGTATTCCTTACTCTAGACTAGATAGCTTTCATCCTGACCTGAAACTAAGCCCATGATTGTGTTTGTAGATACCCTTGAAACTTGCAAGTTTTGGCTATGATAATATGGAACTACTAGCTAAATATCTGTGAGAAGCAGTTACTGTACTTTTCATATTCACTGCTCCCTTTATATATACTTACATGATATAATCAAGCAGATTTTTATATAATCCTAACCTACTTGGGGTGGAATACTGGAGGTAAAGTACAGATATATAAGAAGTCTATATAACCGGATTTCTAGTAAGGAAGATGTGATAGAATGGAGAGGTTCGTAGCAGTCAGAATAATTTGCAGTAGTGTATTAGAAGCTACGTGGTGTGATCTTGTAGATGGCGCGCAAGGGAGAGTGAAGTACAGAAAACCCTATTCCGACATGATACATCAAGTAGCGGCTGCAACAGCAGCACATGCAAGTACGCATGTCACAGAACCACCCTGCGACTGTATTTTCCACGTGCACTATCAGCTGTACTTACAGGGTGAGTGCATAAGCGGGGGAAAAAATGGTGAGTATAAATATTGCCTGTACGGATATTAGGATGAAGAGAAGTACCAGCAACAATACCATGGCGTTTAGAAATATATACTTCAAACCGAAGGGTATCTATCCCTGGAGTGGCAGCTGGGTCAGCATAGTTTGTTGTTGGAATATGTAGCATACAGAGCTGCTGTCTTTCACCGAACTAGCCCGGCTAGCTCAATCGGTAGAGCGTGAGACTCTTAATCTCAAGGCTGCGGGTTCGAGCCCCGCGTTGGGCTGTTCAACTTCCTCTTTCCCTTTGCCCGGCTAGCTCAATCGGTAGAGCGTGAGACTCTTAATCTCAAGGCTGCGGGTTCGAGCCCCGCGTTGGGCTTTCTTTTTTGTTCCCACATGTCTACTTCAGGATTCTCCTGGGATCTCTCTTTTCTCATTTTCCCCTTCATCAGTTTTCTTTTATTACCCATTACCATATGTTAATAATATAGGACTACTATCTATGAACTGGAGATAGGTCCGCTATGATGAATCTTATTCTATTAATCACTTTTGGAAGCCACACCTTATGTCGGCGTCGACATACGACAGTTATGAATCCTGGTGCTCATGATACGTAGATGTAAGCATTGATATACATACCTAAATATGAAGTCGAGCAAAATACCAAAAGGAAGATCACTGTCAACAATGCACAATACTTGGCGAAGCGTATAAATCATAAATACCAAGAACCAGAAAACAACTGGCCCTCCCTAAACGGACGCTCATTCTGGATCCACAATGGTTGAGCTTGACTCCCCCATCATCATACTCCTTCCAGCCTTCTCCTCGGCCAAAACTCTGACTGTCTCGGTCAGCGAAATAACCTGCTCCTTCAGCCGCATAACCTCCAAGGTGGTGCCATCCACTTGAATATTTGGGGTGGATTCCCGTACGGTCTGGGTCCAGCTATCATCGAGATCAAAGTCGACTTCCTCGGCAGCGTGTTCCCATTCCTGCACGTCGTCGTCGTCCTCTTCACCGCGCCGACGGTTCCACCTGATGCGTCTTGCGTCACGCACTTCGAAGAACGCTGTGATAACGAGGATGGGTGAGTATATAACGCCCATGATGACATCGTTGAGCTTGGCATAGTATTGCCTTGGTAGCCACCACTCAAACGGGAGCACTAAGAAGATGATCTCCAACAGATTGAAGGCTAGTTTAGGCGTTAGTCGTAGCTATCAGAAATAGTGCGTTAAACATACGAGGTATAAAGACATTCTCATCCGGTGCGCGAACGAACTGCATGGTCTTCTGAGCGAAGATGGCCATGTACTCATCAATAGCATTTCCCGAGATATCCTCGTAAGCACTGTTGTAGAGTGCAATGAGAATGTTCAGCAGAACTGGAGTGGATTCAATTAGCTGTGCAACCAAACATTAAACTCGAGGAATACCCACTTGTCATTACAACAAAGTTGAAAACGTAGTAGAGGATAATTCCAAATGGAAAGGCAAAGTCCTCAAACGTGCTGAATTCTGGGCTCTGCATGACGCTGTTCGCCATTCCTTGCACAATGCCTCTCACAATGGGGGTATCATCATCCACTTGAGCCATGCCGATGAATGCCTGGAAAAAGCCTGCAAGAACGACGAAGAGAAGGGCGAAGAAGATCAAGCTTTCCTTCATCATGACTCTCAAGACCACAAACATGGCACCGAAAAATCGGAAGGAATCGAGATAGAGCATCATACGCATCCAGAACATCGGCCCCGCAAATGCCAGAAAATTGTAGCTCAGTTCGTTCAGACTTTGTCTTTCCGCATCGTGAACAGATTGAGAATGCGCCAAGGCGGCCACGCGCAGAAAGAAAGACACGGCGAGGATTGCGTAGAGCGTAGAGTTGAAGGCATTCCAGAAGTCCAAGTAGTGCCAGCCGACTTTCCAGAGTTTGGAAACTTCGTCGCAGATGAAGGCAAGGGTCATCACATAGAGGATCCCCTCCACGGCATCTAGGTCACCGGTGGGATTTACTGTGTTGATAACCTGGGTGTAGAGTCCGAGATAAACGAGAGAGAAGAAAATCTGGCAAATGTTCTGATATAGAGGCGTCCTCATCCGATCTGGGTGGAAATGAACCGCAAAACTTGTGTTGTCCCTCTCCAGGTAGGGAACGAAATTGGTTGGATTGCCCTCTTGCTGGCAGAACCATCCATTCCACAGGTATCTGATACACTTTTGATAACCCGAGGAGCCAATGACCCTCAAAGCATGTAGATCAACAGCGCGCTCGATGACATTAGCCGGCATGGCCTCTCCACCATCAATGAAAATGGAGTACCGCTTAAGGAGAACATTAATGAGTAGATTGTCCTGATCTTCCTCCGTTTCAATGCTATATAAGCTGGATCAGCAAAGTCTCCAAAATCATGCTACAGGAGGGTGTATTACATTCTCTTCGCTATGACCTCACAAGCAAGGGCTCTGCGCTCATGTAAATCCGAATCCCAGAGCTCTTCCTGAGCCTGAAGCTTGAACCAACGCAGACAAACGAGGAGACAGAATGGAACGCAGGCCTGCAGGTCTTCGCCTCCCGCTAGACGGGCTGTATGAATCACATTCCTTGTGATAACCCGACTATTCGGACTGACAATATCACTCTCATCTAGCTCGCAAGGGATGACTTGCTCCAGCTGGTACTTCAGACGAAGAGCGACTTTTGTCACCTCCTTAGAGGGTAGGGTAGAAGAGACCTGGTCATCTGTAAAGGCAGGAAGCACTATGAACCCTGTTAGCCGAGAGCATGTTGTAGAGCGGCTCCGCAATCAGATGACGTACATCGGTGTTGTTCCATATGCAGGCGGTGGCGGGTCCGCCCCGCGTCGGTGTTGAAGATATCTCGCCAGTGGCCCATTTTGAATGGCCCAGAGGAAGAGATCAGTTGGTAGAATAATAGAAACGGTCAGATTTTCACAGGCGCTGAGGGAGGACTCAGGAGGGAGACTCCAGAGCTACGGTCTACTTAGTTAATGTAAGTCTTTCAGCCAGGCCGCGCGCCCCACTTCTTAGCCGCTCACCCAAACCACCAATGAAGGAGCCATCTTCAAGGTTCAGATCATACAAGCGGTCAGGATACGAGTGTTACTGAGCAGCAGAGCGAAATGATCGACCTGCTCCTTGCAATTAATCCGGAAGAGAAGAGCTTATACATCAGTGTCTGAAGCGGCCACTGGGGTTGAACCGTTCGTTGATCAAAGAAGCTTATGTACATCAGAAAGAGAGGGCTCCTGTTGGGCCAAAGCCACTCACCAACAGAGAGTCAAGCAACATCCACTGATCAACAATACAAGGGACAATGTGCATGTCATTATCACCTTATGGGAAAGAAAGGCCTCTGGATGGGATGAGGCCCTTCCGATCGTCTTCATACCCCGCCGATGATCTCGATTTCACCCGTCGCACATCGCACATTAAACCGTACTTGCGTCTCATAAATCGTGTCATGTCCAGAAACTCTATTGAACTTTTTTTCCACACCCTACCCGACACACTTATATGATCGCCTTCAATCTTCAGTCTGCGATAACCCCACAACACCAGTTCGTGAAGCGCTCTGCTTGTTTCTCATGTCGCCGCCGAAGCGAACTCTCAAGCTTCACACGCTGTCGCTAAGCTCGCCGCGGGCAGTTTACTCAGGAACGCCCTCATCGCTCTCGGACATGCTCTCGTCACCGCTGACTTCCATGTTCTCACGCTCACGCTTCTCCATGAGCTCCTGAAGGGCAGCATCATCGTGCTCAGTAACAGCCTTGGGAGCCATCTTGACAATGCAACCACCGCCAGACTCCTTGATCTTGGCCTCAATCCTTTGAATGGCCTCCTCGAGCATCTGAATACCAATGGCCTTGTCCAAGCACTGGCTGGTCAAGACGTAAAGTGGCGGGGCAACCAGTTTAACCTTGATCTGGGTCTCGGCGGTGTTGTGGGCCTCGGCGGTGCGCAGGGCCTCCTTGACCGCATCGATGCCGTCGTAACCGAAGCAAGTAACCTCAATATCGGCACGGACCTTGGTCGGGTGAGGAGTAAGTCTCTTGCTGATGTAGTGCGTCAACTCCTTCTTCACGTTCTCGTTAGGGAATTCAACCTCGTTCCACACGTCGGGGTTCCTGTGATGATATGAGTACAATGATTCGTGAGAGTCTTGAGTCCAGTGGTCCTTACGTGATGGAGATCTTGAACGCATCGTGGGAGTGTCCATATTTGCGGTTCAGGGGCCATCCGATCTGCTGGTATAGGGTCTCAAGAGGGGTCTGAGTGGCCTCGGCAACGTGGCGCATGATGGAGTGGACTGCCTTGCTCTTGTTGTATCTTTCCTCACACTTGACAACATCTTCGGGAGAAACTCGACGCTTGGAAAGATCGATATAACCTAAAGACGTTGAATAAACGGGTTAGTAAGTTGATGCTAATGTTGTCATCCAGAGGACTCGGACTTGCCCTTCTCCTTGTCCACACGAAGCACGATGACGACCTCGTTGCGGCCGATACGAATGAGCTTCTGGATACTGCGGATACGTCTGCGCGACAATTCGGAGAGCAGAATCATGCCGTCGATGTTGTCATACTCGAGGAGCTTAACGTATGCGCCCATTTCGGCGATCTGTGAGGGGTTGAGAGACGAGTGTTAGACGGCGATCTTGAACCCCGAAAAGAACCAAATGACCTGTAGCAATGCATACCTGCTTCACGTTGACCATGACATAGCTGTCAACCTCCGGATACTTCTCCTCGTAGAAACGGCAATTTGTCAACGACATTTTCGGCGGGGTTGCGCCTTTTGCTAGGCAAAGCTTCGGAACTGTTCAAGAGTTGATGGAAGGCTGGAAATCAATAAGGTATCCGAGACAAGGTGGCCTCGAGATAATACCGGCGTAAGAGTGCCCGAAAGGATGTGAGGGAGTTGTGAGGTTGGAATGAAGACTGCCACTATTGGGGATCACAAAGCACAATTCGAAAAACCCACTTTCGGCCTCGCGGTTGAGTCATCACGTGCAGGGCTCGCAAGTTTCACCGCCCGGCAAAATGCGATAATGCATTGATAGGCCTATCCGTCTCCGCAGCCTTAGGCTCTAGTATTGTCCCGACAAGACTAAAAGTAGTTCTACCGCTGAAATATTCAACACCCTTTGATCCAGATCTGATGGAATTTACAGCGGACCTTGAGCCCCGGTCATTAGTATCAAGCAACTGAGTTTTCATCTCTATAAGCACATCTAAAGAATAGCTTCTGAATTCTTGGAAGATCTGCAGCACAAACCTCCCTCCAAGACCAGCGCTACGAGATGCTTTCTATTTGTATACAGAATATCTGCTTGAACCTCTCAAAATGAACCCATCCATTCCTGTCAAGCAGCTTAGACTAGGGGTTTCTACGGAATAGTGGATATTGGCACGAGCTTAAAATTTGTAGCTCTTCTTATTGACCAGACATATCATGCTGGGATAGGAGGAGTACTTGCATAAAATGAAGTATTGCGCAAAATGCTACTCAAATATCCCGTGCTATCTGAACTTTGCTTACATAGACTCAGCACTGAAGTTTGCTATTGATGAAAGCCATGGTTTTAGGAGGAAGACAGCATATGCTGAAGCAAACCAGTATGGAGGTGATCCCTGCTTCCACCCCCAAGCTGAAAAAGAAATGGAAGTAAGATAGGTCAGCTTACAGATTGATGTCACACTGTGAAACATATCACTAGAGTGTTCAATGAAAATGGTTCGTGAGATTTCAGAGATGCCTAAGCATGAACCTTATGGTTGATTAGTATATCTATTTCATCAAACCCAAACGGCATAGCTAAGGCCATACCCCAGTAAAGATAGTCGTCTCAGAGAACAATGTCTAGATGTCTTCATGATTTCCTACCGTAGCACAGATAACATCAAAGTTCTGATGCCGGTTCTACCAGCATGCCTTGGCGGGTGACCATCTTGAAGTTCACCTAATGGTTAAAGCAAGCGATTACCTCTATCAATTGACAAGATAACATATCAAAAAGTATGGCAGGGGATCTTCTTAGAAAGAAAATATCCACACTTCCTATCAGAGATCAACGATAGACGTGCAGCCAGTCGTTGGATTTGGATTGATACACCAGAAGCTGGACTTTTAGCTCAACTTCGAGATTCTGAAAGCATCGAGATAGGGGACTTTGAAAAGAATCAGCAGCCAATAGCCTTATCTGCCACTACAACTCTTTACGAAGCCAAGAAAACTGTTCATCTGACCCTGTCCAACAGGCATACCCAGACCCCGAACATTAGGCTGGGGGCAAACCGTTCATGACCAGCCGCATAAGTTGGGCAGGGTACCTAAGTACTATTAGACCAGATCAAACACTAGTGACAGAGTCTGCCATATTTTGGGGTAAATAAGGCCACTTGGGAAGCAGAGGAGACATACGAGAAGAATCAGTGAAAGTCGTAGATGATTTTAAGCACCCAGATGACTCAGATGCAAGACTTAGTATTCTTCAAAGATTGTGTTCGCGCGGTAGCCGCAGCAGAACCTTAGTGCTGGGACTATGGTGTAACCTAGGTTATGTTCTGTATAGGGCCATGTGCAATGGCATTGGTGGCTGTGAAGCTTCATGACCCATAGAAATGCCAGGATATGTGGATGGCATAGGTGTGGATCTACATTCACGACACGGTGGTTTGCTTTGCAGAAAAAGCCTGACGCTAAACAATATATATCCAATCAATTTCTTCATCGGCTCTGGACAGTTGGCCTGGACTATATACTATGTAAAGATGGGTTGATTTCTGATGCTCTTGACAGCATTGCATGAATACTGATGAGTTATTAGTGCCCAATAAGTATCTGATTCTTGGAATAGATTACTTCATGATTTGGTGATCAGAAGCTTCGAATAGCTTATTCGCTTGTTCTGTTTGTTCACTAGCCATTGATCAAAGATGGTCTATTCGGAGAAAGTTTAAATAAATCTTACTAGACTCCCTGACACGACGGTTTTACTCAACATAGCATGTTCTCGCGGGATATCAGTAAGCCCCATTGGTCTTTGTAGAAGCACCCGACACGTAAAGGAGAATCAACTCGAGGCAAGTTGCACAGCCATCTTTCGTAACCGTAAGCCTGGATCCAGGGCAATACCAGGCTGAGTTTCAGCTACAGCAGGGAAGGTGTTTATGAGGCTCTGCCGCAACAATTTCACTGTGTATTCAGGCTTGACCAGGAAGTTTGATAGAAGTGTACTTGGGCAGTTTTAAGAGGTAGTACAGGCTTCAACCAGGCATCCTCATAGCCTTGAACGCCTTTAAACCTACCCCTGCCACCTCCTCCTGCCATGCTGCAGGTGGAGTTTTTCATTCTTCATTATAATCTTCATTTCGTGTTTCCTTATTGACAGCCAGTTTTGCCTGAAATTTGTGACGCGAGTGTACCCTCAGTAGCAAGAAACAGCAGCTAAATAATCGTTCAACCTGGACTTCGATATGCACTAGCGGGGCATGGCCCTTTACTGTACCTTCTCGGTCGTCTGGCGTTCATAGCCTCCAACATCATTGATCAGTACTCTCCCCACTTACCGCAATGGCCATCTTATCACGCCCTACACTTCTACTACTCTGGACTGCATCCAGCTTTGTCTTCGCCCAGAACGTCGCCACGGGAATCCAAGCAACAGAACGGGTGGGATGGGTCGCTAATGAGACGACCCGAAGCACTTCTCAGATTATCTTCTGTTGCGTATCTATCTTCCTTGTCTGCTCCTGGGAATGTGTACACCTGAATGTACCAAGCATCGAAGAGAGCGAAGCAGGCTGGTATATGTACAGTGGCTGGCTGTATTACTGGCCCACGGCTCCTCTCCGACGACTTTGGTACCGGAGATTGGGATGGGTGGCTTTGATTGCCATTGCCCCGGAGATCGGAGTGGCAGTAGCCTTCGAAGAGCTAATGGAGGCTAGGAAAACCTTTAGGAGATATAAGCATCTTGGTTTCACCATGCCCCACGCTTTTTATGCCTGTATGGGTGGGTACCGGGTGGCCATTCCCCGAACCTTTCTCAATCAGGATGGTGACACTCGGGATGGTCCAGCGTTGATGGCCGGGACTGTACAGGGAGACAACGAGAATCATCAAATTTTAGTGAAAGATACTATGGTCGAAAGGATGTTATATTATAGCCCTCAGCTGACCACCCTAGGTGAGAAACCAATACTTAACTGATTCGGAATCCGGGACACTTAGCTCACACCAATTGCAGAGATACTAGATGAACTAGGAATCTTTCCGGCCACTGAGGAAGCTTGCTTACAGGACCGAGGCCTTCCTCTAATGAAGGAGGAAGACATTCATAATGTTTCGACATCAGATGCTGTTATCAAGGGGTTTGCTTGTCTTCAATGCGTATGGCTTATCAGTTTGGACATCACGCGTGCGGCTGCGGGTCTGCCCATCAGTGAGCTTGAGCTGATGACACTGGCCTTTATTTTCTGTGCGCTGATAATGTACGGCTTGTGGTGGTATAAGCCGTTCGGAGTCCAACGTGCCACCCTTATACTCCCTTCCAACCAGGAAAAAGCAAGTATTGTGCAAGATAGGCTGGGTCCACCGGGCGCTGAGGGGAGAAGTCAGGGAATAGGTACTGTGGTTGAAACCTGGCTGGATTTGCCTCGTTGCTTCTTATTTGATCCTTTCGACTGGAAAAGAAGCGAGTATGATGAGCCAAGATCCATAATCTGCAACCTCACCTCTCTGGTATTCTCTGGTTTCCATCTTGTTGCCTGGAACTGGGAATTCCCATCAGACATGACCCGCATGCTCTGGCGCATCTTTAGTCTGACTGCAACAGGAGCCCCCTTGGTCCTGATGAGTATTTCAGGAATCTTGCTTGTTTACTATGCGACGGGCTCCAGGGTGAGATATAGGGCGGCTCTGAAGGTGGTGATGTATGGGATGAGTATCATCTATACCATCTCACGAGTCGGCTTGATTATTTTGGTCTTTTATTGTTTTTCTTCGATGCCGGCCGCTGTCTACAAGACAGAGCAATGGTGTCATTTCTTTCCCCATTTTGCTTAACATAGTATCGAGAAAGATAGATTCAGACAACCAGCTCCATTCAAATCGAGACATTGACTAAGGCATAAGTCCAGCTTCATAGAGGTCCTCTTATCTCATTTGCCCGATGGCCGCTATTGTACAAAGTAGTTGTAGTCCACTGGGATCATCGGGCTGGATGGTCCGTGCTACAGGCCCACCAATCAGTTAGTAAGCGAAACCCCAAGATTGGCCAAATTCATCATCATTTGCAGAACAACTCATCTTCGAGGGACTGAGCATATTGTAGCGCACTCATCTGGCGTGGCCTGAATCTACTCCGTACACTAGTGGTCAATTACCAGAACGTGATTTGGGATGGTGGTGGCCATTGTCTTCAAGAGCCTGGTGTTTAGGAGGGTACTCCGTAGAACAACGACCCTCTGGGTAAAAGGCAACCAATTGTGTAAGCATTATATGCAGATTGCTTGTGTAACATTCTCAGTTGGATGCCCAATTACCCCAATGTCTGGCACTACTACCTTCTGAACCAGTTGTGGATTATTCAAATCAATTACAGACAGAGGGCATCATCACATACCGGAATGGGATAAAGGGAGAACAAAGAAAGTTATGTAAGCCATGAGTGGGTTGTTCTCCAGTTTTAGTATGTTTATCTTCAGGGTCCGAACGTCATCGACGCCTGTCTCAACTTTCTGCCAGATCGGAGAGAGACAGAGAGAGAGAGAGAGCTTGCAGGGCAAAACTCTGCCCGTGCATCAGCCTTACAAAATAAAATATCTTGGTATTTTAAAACTTTCAGTTCCACCGCCAATCAGGGCCTGCTTGCCTCGTCCGAAAACTTACGATTCCGCTAACGATGGACTTATCTTAGCCAACAGCCACCGCTCCTTGCGCTAGCAATCGTGTCTCGCAAATCGCTCAACCACAACTGTGCTTCCTTTTTTCCCCCATCTTACCTCGCCGCTGAAGTCGCCATTCCTTATGGCGTTTTCTGCGACATTATAGCGTGCATTGTCTGTTTGATTCGATCGTGCTTTTCACCCCGGGTTTCTCCGAATCAACATGACGGATCTCAATCCGCAGGGCGGACACTTCGAACACCGCTCTTTGCGGGACTGGCTTGCGGGCTTCTTCCGAGCACCTCTGTCAAACAGCTCCGCAGATCCTCCGCCTGAACGGGTTCCCGAGACCTTAGAACCGAACGATAGAACTCGCTTGTTGAAATTGGCCGATGGTCAAGGAGGTCCCGCATACGGTACGAGGGATGGTTTGTCGACGCCGCAGGTTGACGGTGGACCTGAAGGACATATTCGGAATGGGAATGGAAACCCAACATTTGTACAAGGACCGGAGAACCTGCCTCCGAGGACTGGGTCAGGTCTGGCGTGGCCTGTGAAGAACCATAAGACGATGTAGGTTTGGAATATACAGTCTCTCGGCTTTGGATTCAGGACGAAACAACTGATTGAGATACAGGTACCTCTCATACTACATCCCGTTCTTCAACTGGATCACACAATATCGCTGGTCTTTCCTCCGAGGCGACTTGATCGCAGCCTTGACAATCGCATCAATCTACATTCCCATGGCGCTATCTTTGGCTTCAAACCTCGCCCACGCGCCAGCTATCAACGGCCTGTACTCATTCGTTTTCATGCCACTGCTCTATGCAATCCTGGGAAGCAGTCCTCTGCTCGTTGTTGGTCCGGAAGCAGCTGGGTCACTATTGACGGGAACAATTGTCAAAACTAGCGTTAAACAAGGCCACTCGCAGGAGGACGATGAGGCCGCAAGCGCAATGGTCGTAGGCATAGCCACTGCCATGGCAGGAGCCATGATACTAGTCGCTGGACTTACCAGGCTGGGTTTCCTGGATAATGTGCTCAGTCGACCTTTTCTGAGAGGTTTCATCACTGCCATTGGCTTTGTCATCTTTGTTGACCAACTCATCCCTGAGGTTGGATTGGCGGACCTGGCTAAAGAGGCCGGCGTCAGCCATGGCAGCACAGTGCAGAAGCTTGTTTTCTTCGCTCAGAATATCAAGAACTGTCATGGTCTTACAGCTGCTGTATCCTTCGGTAGCTTTGCAATTATCATGCTTTTTCGGTATGTACCACACCCCCACCGAGGGCCATAAAGGAGATGCATCATTACTGACCCTGTGCCCCACCTACCTCAGAACGATCAAAAAAGCACTCGAACCACGATACCCTCAGGTCGTCTACTTTCCTGACCGTATCCTTGTTGTGATCCTCTCGGCCATCCTGACCTGGCGTCTTGGATGGTACGAGCAGGGGCTGGAAGTTCTAGGCTCAGTCCAGAACACGGCCACTGGGCTCTTCGCATTCAGGTGGCCCTTCCAACTCAAACATCTGAAGCACGTACGCACTGCTATGAGCACCTCCTTCATCATTGCTATTCTTGGCTTCTTCGAGTCCTCAGTTGCTGCCAAGGGCCTCGGGGAGAGACGAGACGGTGTCCAAGGCATGTCTGTCAGTGCAAACAGGGAGATGGTTGCTCTGGGCGTTGCAAATGTGGTTGGGGGCTGCTTTATGGCTCTCCCTGCCTTTGGCGGATACGGACGGAGCAAAGTCAACGCTTCTACGGGAGCACGCTCTCCTATGAGCAGCATATTCCTCAGTGTTATCACTTTCATTGTTATTATGGTGCTCTTGCCATATTTATACTATCTTCCTGTGAGTTTTTTTTTTTCCAATCCCCGAGTATTACTGGGTAAGACATGTGCTGATATCCACCACAGAAAGCTGTACTATGCTCTACGATATCGGTCGTCGCATACAGTCTTATAGAGGAATGTCCCCACGACGTCGCCTTCTTCATCCGGCTGCGTGGTTGGACAGAGCTTGCATTGATGCTTCTCATCTTCGTCTCCACTATATTCTACTCGCTGGAGCTGGGTATCGCGCTTGGCATTGGGCTCTCAATTCTGATACTGATCCGTCACTCCACCCAGCCTCGCATCCAGATTCTCGGGAAAATAGCCGGGACATCCGACCAATACGACAACGCCGAAATGCACTCAGAGAACGTGGAGCTCATTGACGGCGCCCTTGTTGTTAAGATTCCCGAGCCGCTCACCTTCGCCAACACTGGCGATCTCAAGAATCGCTTGCGCCGTCTAGAGTTCTATGGCTCCAATCGCGCACATCCGTCCCTCCCACGATTGCGGCCCCCAGAGTCGAATAAGAACGTCATCTTTGACGTTCACGGTGTCACGAGCATCGATGGCTCCGGTACGCAGGTCCTCTCCGAGATTGTGAATGATTACATCAATCTCGGAGTAAGTGTCTATTTCTGTCGCCTTTCGAATCGCAGCGTTTTCCGCATGTTCGAAAGAAGCGGCATAGTCGACCGATGCGGAGGCATGTCTCATTTTGTCCCTGGAGTAGATGAGGCGCTTCGGCTCGCTGAATCCGAAGGCCGTGCATCGGAACCTTGAAGGTTTAATTCCAAGTGAAGCCCGGCGCTTCTCTCATATAGGTGTGCTACCTGGTCATGATCCGAACCTGTAAACGATTCACGACATTGCACGATACAAGACAGACGTTTAGAATGTATATTCCCAGCATCCGTTAGATATGTTGTTGGTAGCATTTGAAATCAGAATCATCAGCGGTTTTCTTCGATATTCGCTTGTCTATGCAGGTTCCGTAGTTCTGATGTATCAGGGTTTGTGGTTATCCTCCTCGCTCATCTCAGCTCTGCGCAATATATCGGAAAGCAACACCTCGCAAGCACGTAATGCAAGATGATTGTTCCGACCAGCAGTGGTATCCGAATCGCCGTTGTCGCCAGCTGGTGTCGATGCAACCAGCTTTAGCTTCCCATCTCCACCGAGCACGAACCCCCCACAAGCGATCCGCGACAGGCGCACATGATCTTGTCCCTTGAGGGTGGGCTCCGCATTCCCACCGCTCAAATCAAACTTCATCGCCAAATGCTCCTCCAGGTACGCACTAAGCACGGCCAGAACGTCCGACTCACTTCCATCACCGTTATTCCCAGCACCAAGGAACCCGCTCAACGACTCTCGTGGAACTGTAATATTCAAAGTACGCAAATCCGGCGCAGCAAGGGCGGGGAACGATAGCGTGAGGTGAAGCTCTTTGACAATCTCGACTGCGTTCAAAGACCCGGATCCATCTTCGGAGGTCAATGTGTTTATGTATGTGTTCAAGGCTGTGCCTATAAGTCGCGAGGGAAGACGAAGCGGAGAACAGTACGTGTCGAAGGTCGAAGAGAGAAAGGAGACGAAAGTTTGTCGAAGAGGAGCAGGAAAGCGGGTTAGAAGGAGCGGTAGATGGGTAGCATGTGTTTGAGTCTGAGAGCGAGTTCGGGTGCGAGGTTTCGAAACGGTTTCGGTCTGGATTGCAGGGAGAGAGGACAAGCTAAGAAGAGCTGCTTTGTATGTTGCGTTCTCGTACTCCAGCTTCACGAGGATTCCACTTCCCTGTTGGGAGGGCGTATGTGAGGCTGGGGCTGAGCGTTGAGTCCGCGCGCGGGATCGAGGTCCGTTCGACGCCTGAGATCCATTGTCAGGGTCGCGTTCGTGTTCAATGTCTGAGAATGAGAGACTGGGTATGGGTTCCCAGGTGCAGGATTGCAGCGCGCCGGTTCGGGAGAGGGTGTCGTCGTCGGTTGTGGGCAGTGGACCGGTGGATTGGAGGGCAATCGGGAAGGAGGCTGCGGTTACTTGATCGCGTAGTCGGGTCGCGTAGAACTTCAGAGCCGCGGGGTTGTTGACAAGGCTGTCAAAGTCTCTTCCGTGGTGGAGGGGGGAGAGACGGTGGAGTGTCCATGAGGTGTTTAGTAGGCTTGTTTGCGTCATTGTGGTGTCGTGAGGCTGGTTGGAGGTGTTTGATGCATGCGAAGGGATGGTATATCACATTTATCACATATGGTGTTAGTATAGCACAATTGGAAGAGATGCTCCCTTGGAGCTTGTCGATCAGTAAATGATGCGGCAGCTATTTACTTAGTCGGGAGAGCAGAATGCCCGCGGCCGCGACTATCTCTCTAATCGATGCATCTTATCAAACAAACAATACAAACATCTCACTCCCAGAAAGGAGCCTAGGGCATAGGGCTAGCTTACATGGGACTGAGGAATGCATTCTTGTTACAGATTGATGGACCGATACCAAGGTAATAGAAATCTCCATTCATTTGTAGTAGCCGCTGCTAATATTGTTATGTCAAAAGAGTAACACCCAAACGAGCAAAGAGCTCATGCCATGAAGATGGATATATTCTTCGCCATGGAGTACACCAAAACCCCTATGAAACGCCTCGCCTTGTGAATGCAAAGAATGCAATGCTTGCTAAACCGACAGAATGCATTATGCACGCCATCCATCTGGAATTCGACAGTCTTGGCAGCTGAATAGGACAGGCAACCCTGTCCAAACCATGACGCGCTCTGCATGATGCGGCGCCGCCTTTCTTAAAGCCAATTCCTCCTTCACAACATCGAACCAGACATCTTCCACGGAACCATGCAAATGCACGTTCGGGGCATTCTGGAAGACCAACATGTTGATGTCGTCCTTTTCATTTAGGGTGATATCGTTATGAAAATTGTGCATGAAGTCCTTTCGCTGCATCCGCTGATTGCCGCCATCTCCGATTTCAGCGGAGAAGTACTCCACTATTCGGAGGAATGGCGACACTGTAAGCAAGGATCCAATCCAACTGTCATCCGAAACTGTAGGCTCATCCGGTGGTACAGTATACCGCAAGTATGAGACTAGAAGTTGCATGCAGTGATGCGTGGCTATGAGGGTAGGGGTGTCAGTAAAAGGAGGTGATCTGATTATCTTTACTTGCAAGTCCCGGTACATGGCTCTACGGATGTGTGGGGGTACAGGAACTGGCAAGCGTCCAGCTTCCCAGTCACGCAGAAGAACATTAGTCTGCTCTCGCCTGGCAAGAGCATAGGTCTCAAGGAAGTATAGAGTATAATACCTGTATGAGAGGAATGCGTTAGAGATGCACTGAAGAGGACGACTGAGAGGCCAATACTTACATGAGCGGAGCGAGATGAAACCATAAGCGCGCAGTCGTCCTTTGCACGAAGACGCCGCGCTCGGCTTTGGAGGTAAACATGGATTTCATGAACGCCGGTTCGCTGTGCACAAACCGATCCATAACACGGTCCGCGAGGTAGCAGCAAAGTCTTGTACAAAGCGTCTGCCGGCGACGCAGGCCGGATATATACTTGAAAGTGTATATGTGGCCACCCTTGGCGCTCTTCGCCGGTGGAAACAAATCGGATAGCAACACTGCATCATCCTCCGGATTCCGAGTATATGTCCTTTCGCTATCTATCGGGGAGGGGAGTGTTCCATGGCGACGTTGACGGAGGTATTGCCGGGTGATCCATTGCTCCTGCGAGTTAAGCAGTAGATAGAAAGATTTGCAGACAAGCTTTAATGGCAGAAAATCCGTGACACCGCAGTGGGCGAATATCTTGATCTGAATCTCGACTGGGAGGAGATCCCAGGGGGAAGACGTCGGAACTAGCTCCACACTATAAATGTACAACACGTAGGTTAGCGATGGACATGCTTTACGCTTTGAGCATAGAACACGGGATGCGATGAGGGGCACACGACGTACACTGACGAGGACACTGATGATGAGCCTGCAGCATGCTTGGACAGATTATTCTTCTTGGCATCCGACTTCCTTCCTCTGTAATTGATGACAGCGCGCGCCTTCTTTGCCTGTAGCACCAAGTTGTGGAACGAACTCATCGTCAATCTCCAAAAGGCATGGGGAGACCAGCTCCGGCTTGAGGAACAGGAGGGAAATGCTTGTCACCATGCAAATCCCCTGGTCAGTCTTCTCGTCGATCGATTTTAAGGGATTCTCCGCTTGCGCCTTTTCGGGTTCAGGGTAGATGACTAAGCAGGGCTGAGCAATTGTTGCTATTTTAGAAGAAACTGCAAGCATTGAAAGGTCAGATGCGGGGTTCCTGAAATGCCCAGAATAATTGGTTGTGTACAATGGCAAAGACAAAGGGGCGGCCGTCAAAAATGGAGCAATAGTAGTGGGAGGAAGGAGGAGTGTGCTCATCTGAAACCGAATCGGGGCTATCAGTCTGCTAATTTGCGGCTGGCTTTGCTCTCATTCTGTTTTTAATGACATTGAGCTTCTGATGTATTACACTAGGTACGAAACCTTCTAAAGCTTCCATATTTCAAGCACGCGCCAGTTTACTACGGAATGAAGTAGAATGACTAAAGTATCTGGTGAAAGTTGTGTCACGCCAATTTTGATACATTCGTTTCAATGGGGACTGCAGAACTCGACCTTACGTCATCTTAAAACAGGGGTACTCCATTCTGTACCTGCTGGATTGGTTGAAGTGCGTACCCCGGGGCCCAGGCCATAGTGGCCTTAGGCCTGGATTCGCGACATTGTGCGACATGTCACTAATCGAAACGCCCCAGAGGGCTTTGAGTATTGACGCCAAAGAACTGGCGAGACCATGAACTTGAAAAAAATGCAAAAGGGAGACATTTGCCCAATTCTCTTTTCTCTACGTCAATAGTGAAGCTTCCATTGTATCTTATGAGATCTAAATGAGTTATGACGTCTACCCAAGTCAGGCGAACGCCCCTGTCTTGAAAAGGTGACCTCTAGAAACAAAAATCACATGATAGACCAACAAAGAAAGATGAGACAAACAACCTAAAGGTAATTAGAAAGAAAGTGGCGGGGAAAAAAAAAAGATGAAAAAAAGATGTGCATCATCCGTGAATCGAACACGGGCCTCATCGATGGCAACGATGAATTCTACCACTAGACCAATGATGCTGTTGTATGATAACGGCTTCCAATTTTGAGTCTATCAATAGCTGTCGCAGCTATATGTGTATCTTCTGCTGTACACCATAGTAAGACGTTGGAAAAGTCGCCTTTGTCCTAACAATTGATAGCTACACTTGTGTAAACTACACAGTAAACAAGAACATGCATTATGCATGATCTGGTGCAAGCCATCGGGGCTTCCTATCTTCCGAAGAAGCGCCAACATTCAAGGACCCGCTCTTACCAATGGGCAATTACATTGTAAGTTGAATGATTATCACTGACGCAATATGTCAATTTCGTAGGAGAGAAGGATGAGTCCGCATACTGGACCCTGAGCCGAAACTCGGGCTCAGCGTGTCTACACCAATTTCCTGTTGTGGTAATGTTAACACTCCAACGGAAGTATGCGCGCCGACGGAGGTATGCAAATGACCCACCGGCTAATTTGAGGGTCCCTGGCGGAATTGCCTGATTTATCTGTGATTGACAGGCATACTTGCTGTGTAGATAGTAGTACAGTAGTCACCACGCTTGAAGTTGTTGTTGTCCTTTACATAACGACAACAGCCTATGAATGAGATACTCTCATCCTGACCCTACAGTAGTTCCTATGAGCTATTTATGGGTGGCCGGGTGGTGTAGTGGTAGTCATCCTGCATGACACTCCTACAGGTATCTGACAGAGGTTTCTCTGGTCGATGCTTAAGTAGATAGTGTGGTAGGTTTGATTCCCATGACTGTTGGATACTGACCATGCGAAAGAAGAGGTTTGTTAATTAGATATATGCCCAGTGCCCGGGAGGAGGGTAAGTATAATCAAATAATTTAGGGAGACTACAAACAGCTTGATCCTTATATATATCATCTCCCTTCGCTGTCTATATACTGAGTATGGTGAGAATTTTGTAGATTTCTATCTCTCTGAGGGGTTATTCTTCATAATCTTCACACACATACATAGATCAGCCTACAAAACTGGGAAGGATAGGATTATAGTCCTATACTAGAACGTACATGAAGACATACCGCCCGTATCTAGTTAGATAACTGCGCGCGCGTTTTACGGAAGGAGTCTCTCTTCTTCTGCTTGTTTGCAACTCAACAAGAGCACCCTGGCCGTGCTGAGTTCGAGTATAAGTTCCTCTGTCTCTCTATGAGCTACTTATCTTATGAATCAGGTGTAAGAGATGATTCTCGGAAGTATGGTAACATGGTGATTGGCCTTCCTATCGATCGCCCAGTGCCGGGTCAGTTGAGCCTTGGCCCACAATATGCAAAGGAAGCACTGCCTCAGTGCGCCCGATTACTTGGCGCTAAATACGTGGTGGGGGGCCGTGAGCCCTTATTCTGCCCATAAGAGCCTCACTGTAGATCGACGTAGGTGCCAAAAAATTGTCACAAGCTCTTTGTCTATCGGATCTTTTATGCCGAGCAGAAGTATAGCGCAAGTAGGGCCCATACTATATTTTTTGGGTTAAGAGTGATGTTGTCATCCCCTGTGTAACGGTAAGCACCACCATTGTATTTGGGGTGATTGCACAGCACAAACCTAATCCTTCGCCCGCTGATCTCAACACGAGATCGCCGACCGAAGTGTCGGAGAGGGCTGTGAGCTTTAGAGCCATGGGTCAACCCGGCGGGATATTGGTCACTAGAAAACAAGCTGGAAAGACCGAAAAGCTCACGTGGATGTTGACAGGACGGTACTACGATGCCGGGGCAACGACAGGGAGAGAAAGGTATGCTTGCCAGGTGATCAAAGCACATTGAATTTGATTGAGTGGTCCCATCCATATGCTGCCCTATGGTGCTAGTAACCCCAATCCTCAGTATGGTTGGTGGAAGGAACTTGTGTGGTTCGCCTGCTTGCCGCATAGCCGTCTTCGTCTTCTAGAATGATGTAATTTGCATGATTAGCAGCGTAGCGTCGAAATATCAGAGGTGAGTTCCAATTCTTAGCGCGTTTAGTACTTCCTCTCTGGCACGCGCCTTTCGGCCTCGGGCACAGTCTAAGACATTGGCGCAGATTGGTCCGTCATTGACCGTAAGCGTGGCAGAGTCTGGGATAAGTGAGAGAATCAGGAGTATCCTCAGCGACAAGACTGCACTATATGGACGGATTGGGGCCTTCTAAGTTGCTCAGCCTTGGGAGGCGGAGTAAGAGCAGAGCTCCTGAATGGTTCCAACAACAAGTAGTAAATTTACAGCTGGCGGGCGGGAAGCCTCAGGGATCAAGGACACGAGGCGTCCAGAAGGAATGGGCTAAGAAGAGGGTCCAACTTAGGAACCAAGCAGCCAAGACGCCCCCAAAAAGGTCCCATAGGACCAAAACTAGCGACCCACAGCCACCGCTGCGGAGAACATGTGAGTTGAGTTCACAGTAGATGTAGGATGTGAGTAGTTCATTGTGTTAGTTACCCTACGGGAAGCCTACCGTCAAGTGGTTGAGTTGTGAAACTAAGGTTGCAGCTGGTCGGTGGTATTTAATTCCCCTCACTCCCCTCTTCCGATGTCATATTTCTAAATCTCTCTCAATCAGTTCATCATTCCGACTGCTAGTTTTTATCAATATTTGCCGTTGCAGCTGCGAACCCTTCCCAGCGCACCCTGTTTATCTCTCTCGTTGGCTTCAAATAATTGCTATTCCGTTCCCCTACGAGCTTAGGTTACCGTCCTAGTCCGATTACCGCTACACACTGTACACTACTCTACGACCTGCAATTTCTCCTACCAGTAACTGAAAATGTCAGCCGAAAGAAGCGCAGATGTTAACGGCAAGGCGCCAGTCCAGCAACCTACTAACCCTGCCCGCGCACCTGGTGCGGGTCTGGTTAATGTGCAACCAGCTCGCTTGGACGATCTGCAACCCAAGTATGCGCAGCAAATCCAGCACGGTGAAGATAACCCCGATGCGCACGGATGGTATGCTTCATTCAGTAAGTTTTGGCCTTATCCTATATTACACTGTCAAAGCGCTTTTGGCCTAACGGACCTTTGTCGCTATCAGTTCACGGGCTTGGTGAATGTCTTGGTTGCCTGGGTGCCATTCCATGCTGTTTCTGCTGCCCCAACCCCTTCAAACCAGTCGCGCAGGGTGAAGTCGGCCTGATCACGAGATTTGGAAGGTTCGTGAACCCCCACGACGATCACTCTAGAATATATGTCCTGATTGATGTTCTTCCAGATTCGAACGTTCCGTCGATCCCGGTCTGGTCAAAGTGAACCCACTGAGCGAGCATCTTACAGCGGTGGATGTTAAGATTCAGATCGTCGAAGTGCCCCGTCAGAGCTGCATGACCAAGGACAATGTCAACCTGAACCTCAGTTCCGTGATCTACTACCAGATCGTTTCTCCCCACAAAGCCGCATTTGGTATTTCCAATGTCCGTCAGGCACTGGTGGAGCGTACTCAGACTACACTGCGTCATGTCATCGGCGCAAGAGTTCTGCAGGACGTTATTGAACGCCGTGAAGAGATCGCTCAGTCGACTTCAGAGATAATCGAGGACGTTGCTGGTGGATGGGGTGTCCAGGTTGAGTCCATGCTCATCAAAGACATCATCTTTAGCGAAGACTTGCAGGACTCTCTTTCTATGGCTGCGCAGTCGAAGCGTATCGGTGAAAGTAAGGTTATTGCTGCTCGTGCTGAGGTCGAGTCGGCCAAATTGATGCGTCAGGTACATATTCCATTTCATCAAAGTACTCGACATGAGCTAACTCTCCATCTTTAGGCCGCTGATATCTTGTCTTCTGCACCTGCGATGCAAATCCGCTATCTCGAGGCGATGCAAGCCATGGCCAAGACAGCCAACAGCAAAGTCATCTTTTTGCCGGCAATGAACCAGACTGTGCAACAACAAATGGCTGCGGCAGAGAATGCTGGCGAAGGCCCTAGTCGATACCAACAGCCTGATGATGGATTCCAGCGTGCAATGAATGCGCGCGTGGTCGAAGACATCTAGGTGCGGTGTGCCACATGATTTGATGGCTTGATAGCGCTGGAGAGGACCATTGCCTGGTTTCTGATGAGAATATGCTAATGACGCTGAACAATATCTATGTATTTGGAGACACCACAAGGCCGGATAGCCTTGTGTCTTTCCACTCACTTGTTCCCCATTTTTGCTTGGGGTCCTATCTGGCTTTGACGATACCCACATTCTTTTGTTACATGCTTGTGTATTAAACGGGACGATTCTGCCTCTAATTCAATAATAACATTACCTTGTGATTTCCCTTCGTAATCAAAAGAGACTAATGTGAAGGTATTGGTTTATTTGACCATCAATAGCTGTGTGTTTCTGCTCAGTCGCTTTGAGCAATATATGCATCTATTGCGGCAGATAAGCAATTTATACTGCCGAGGGCGGTGTGCCTGGCTTCATGTCAGCAGCAGTAGCCGAAAGTCGTAGACAAGCATGACCTTGTTGCTAGCTATCTGACGAATCACTGCATTGTGCCTTGACCTTTACGGTGGGCTGTCGATTTATGAAATAGCGCTGGAACAGGGCGTAATTGCCCATCCACCCCCCGATCAAGAAGACTGTTGTCGAAACAATGGCTCCTTCGCCGACTCCCAGTCCGGCTCCTACAGCTGCGAAAGTACCAAGCTCACGCCCGTCACTCGAGATGACACCCGACTTCACTGACCAGTCCTTTGATCCTGCCGAGTACCTCAACAATGCTCTTCCTGCGCTGACGCTGGCGTCATCTCAAACGAACCTCTCGCGGGGTCCTGCGGGGGCCTCTTCCCTGCCCGAACTGTCTACACAAGTCCAGACCGTCCTTTCACAAATAAACGCGCAGAATGCTCGACATTCCACGGCCCTTACACAACTTACCGATGAGATTCTACGAAGCGGAGGTCGATTAGCTTATGAAGTTGAATTGCTGCGTGGAGAGACTATTGGACTTTCGGACACGTTGACGGACGCACTACGGAGTGACATTGAGAGATTTGTCCCGGGCGCTGCGGACAATGACAAGATCGCCGGGGCGGAGGAATCGGAAGATACTGGAGAACAGGGAGAGCCAGCGGTGACAATCACAGTGCAGGACCCTGAATATATCACCAAGCTACGGACGTTGAACCAAGTCCGGGCACGACTGGAAGAAGTGGTGCAGACCTTCGGAGATGCCATGGAATGGCCCCTCCCGCCATCGGAGACGTCTATAACATCATCATTTATTTCGGTGTCGGCGCCGGAACCGGGGCCTGAGAGCCACAGTCGCGAGGAGAAGGGCCAAGAGGTGGCTAAGAAGCTGCGAAAGGAAGTAACGGAGCTTTTGGATAGCAACGGTGGCGGGCAGGAGGGGATTGAAGCTGCCTCGCGACGTGTTGAGTCGCTACGTACATTGGCACTTGTCTGGAAGGGCACTGCGGAGGAGAAGGCCCGGACCCGGTTCGTAGACAGCCTGGCTAAGATCGTGGAGGACCGTCGCAAGGCCCTAGACAATCAGGGCCGATCCGACCAGTCCCAGCAGCCGTCCGGATCGTCTACGAAGGGACCAACAACGGGTCATCGGCGGCAAGAAAGCGAAGGCCCGGGGGGTGGCATCTTCCGCAATTTGCAACGGCTGCGAGAAGAGATATACCTGGAATGAGCCATTGCTCTTCGAAATGTCTATATTGTTGTATTGTTGATTTGTTCTGGGCCATTGATTGCATTATGGCGGGCGTTGGCATTGTACATAAGGATTGCGAGTGTGCTTCTGTGTGTCTACTACTATAGTACCGTGCGCTTTTCCTCAGCCCCGGGAAATTATTTGATAGGCGGGCTTTTCCCATTAGGATTCGGGAGTAGCTAACCGGCTCAACGGGCCTGGGGTTCATGCAGTTCATACTACCGTCTATCAGACGCCCTCGGAACGACAAAGTGGCTAGTCGAAGCGCCTGCTTCGTAATCGTCTGTTCTATTCATGCAATCCAAAGCCGTAGATGGAGCACGATTTGAGACGGCACTCGTCCGGGCTGCATGGCTTGTTATGGTCGGGGGAATCTAGGTCCAAAGTAGAATGGGCAATGTGGAGTCATGCATAGGGAGACGTCAGTTCACAACGTAGGCCGAACATAGGGCCGGCGATGGACTAATGAGCAAGCAATCTGAAACCACCATCCGATTCATGCCAAGAACTGGGAGGGCACGGGCAGTATGGGATGTGCAGTCTCGATGACGCGGCCAGATCCAACGAGGGCGTTTCCCGCTGAGTAACCGACTTTCGTGGGCTGAGGCGAACAACTTCACTATGGAGGAGATGCACCTGAGGGTGGGATCAGTAGATCCCACAAGGAGATAAGCTTTCATGGCCCGGCTAAAGACCGACAAAGTACTGCAGAGCAGGGGAAGAAAATAAAAAGGAAAAAGAAACAAAGATGCGGTGGGACATTAACGGGTGCAGGGTGCGATACTCGCACATCGCAATACCGACGGAGGCCAGGGCCGGGAACCAAAGGGGAAAAGCGAGGAGTCCGTAATTCATGATCCATCCAGTCGATTGAAATCCGCAGGAAAGAAAGAGGAGGGCAGGCCAATGACCGGACAGCTACTTTCCCCCAGTCCCTGGCCCGGTTCCACACGCCGACGTAAATCCTCACCCAAATCGGTCACTTTTCTGTTGCTGAAGTGGTCTCCCGCCCGAGTCGACCTTGAACTACTTTCCCTCCTCCTCTTCGCGTTTTGTGTCCGCGTGGCATGGATCTCTTCCCCGACACTGGCTTCTTCTTCTTCTTCATCTTGTTGCTGTCGTCACCATTGACTGTTGTCCTTTCTGCCTCAGCATGGCGCCTAGCAACCCCATTGATTTCTCTTAATCCGATATCCCCCCGTCAGCTTCGCTGCTCTTTCTGATCGCATGTCCCGCTCGCAGGAATGCTTATCGTTGGGAAGACCTTCTTCTATATTTGGCTAAACCCAGCGGTTCTTGTCTACTGAGCACGATCTGACGTTCAGTCGGATCGTCCGTCCACCGCTGCTGAGCAGCGGTACTCTAATCTAGTGTCCAAGCAAAGTTTCCACTTCCACTGCTTTCAGGATGTCATTCCAGGGCATCCTAGACGGCCCATGGGCCGATCATTATCACACGGCGCGCTCGTCAATGACGATGCTATGGCAGCAAGAGTTCCATCCTCGCCGTCTCAGAGCTCGTCCCGTTAGAACGCTGATGATCCTGGCCGCCACATGCTTCTTCACGCTGCTGTTGTTGTCGCGATCTAGTCAAGTATGTTGATTATGTGATTTACTGTCTCAATGAAGTGGTACTGACGAAGTGCCTCTTTTCCTAGCCACATGTTAGCTACTGGTTGAGATACCCATCATATCCCCCCTCCCGTGAGCGCCCCGAAGACTTGCCGATTGTCTTCACTTCCCCGGGTCATGTTTTGCACCGAAATGATAGTCTTCCGCATAATCTGCAAAAGTCAACTCCGTCTTTCCACCTTCTTATACCTGCATCGCAAAAGTCCGCCTCACTCTGTCGCACATTGACGTCGTCGATGATACTGAACTACCCACCGCCCACATTGATTAGCTATGGCAAGTCGCCTCCAACGGGGCACACAGATTACGCTGCCATGGTGGACCGCATAGCCGGCATATACAATTATCTGGCGTATAACCCACAAATAAAGGATGAAGATCTCGTCCTTATTGTTGATTCCCAGGACGTGTTTTTCCAGTTACCCCCTGAGGTCCTGATTCAGAGGTTCCAAAATCTACTCAGGGAGAACAATGAAAAATTGCTCCGAAAATATGGTACCGTGACTGTTGACAGGCCGTACCGTACAGGCTCGCAGGAAACGATACAGAAATACTCTCAGAGAGTTTTGTTTGCAGCGAGCAAAGAATGTTTCCCCGGGCTCACCCTAGATGCAGGGTGTGTGACAGTCCCAGAGTCTAGCCTCCCCCCGGACGCTTATGGGTGGAAGACGGATATCCACCCACAAGGACATCTGAATCGGCCGCGCTGGCTCAAGCCTGGCGCGGTTGTTGGTCAGGCAGCTGATCTCAAGTTGATATACGCCGAGGTTCTGCGGTTCGTGCATCAACACCGCAATGCACGGGGAGATTACCTAGCTATGACGCAAATGTTTGGTCGACAGGAATATGTGCGGGAGCTTGAGAGGCGGGATTCTGCGAATGGATTCATGGAATGGCTCTACACACTTATAGGCATCTCTGATGCTTCCAATATCACAGGAGCTACCCAACCGCGCCTCGAGTCTGGCACCCGCTATGAGTATGGCATTGGAGTCGACTATGAATCCCGTCTGTTTTTCAACATGCGCAATGCCAAGATGGATGTCGAATGGCTTCACTACAATAATGTCACCAAGACTTCGGCAGTGCAGATGCAGCATGGCGTCCCCAGAGAAAAACGCCTCTTGATACCTTCGGATATCACACCTGAGAGCCTCGGTAATCCATTCATCCAGCTCAAATTTGGCAAGGATGATTGGCTGAACCCGCCTTTCAATGAGACGCTCGACAAACTTCCGAATCCGCGCAACCATACTTGGCATAACCTCCCCTTGATGACCAACATTCACTCGGCATCTGTACCGGCCCTGTTGCATGTCGATGGGGATCATTCTGTCCTCGACAAGTGGTGGTCAGAGATGTGGTATCAACCATGGGCTCGTGCCCTTCTCCGCAAGTACATGCGCACCCCGAATGGGTTCGACGCCGCCCAATCTTCCCTCTTGGGAGGACAAGAATGGTGGGACATGCGCGGTGGCAGGGGAGGTCTCTGGACCGACAAAGGTGAATGGCTGGCCTACACTGAGGTTTGTGGAAGCTATGACAAAGAGCTGTTCGATGATGATTTCGGTCCCTTTGGCAAAGAAAGTGGCGAAGACGCCGACGAGCCGGTTTACAACCGATTCGGAAACGTCATCAAGGGCAAAGAAAAGCCAGGCATCTGGTGATCTATCTCCAAGACTGGTTCTTGAGAGATAATTACTGCCTGCCGATTCACCTTTGGTGACATGGCTGGCGTGGGCCTTACTATTTATCCACAAATGTGGTCCATTGTTCATTCTGCTTATTTCATTATACTGTGAAGCTGCAAACCGCAGCCAGAACTTGCCATCAGTTATGACCGTGCATATCTACATGGTGTTTGGGGTTCATGAATTATCGATTTTGAGCGAAGAGGATCTGATGTGATGCTTTTGCATATGTGCTTGGCCTTACCCTCCTTGCTTTGCTGGTTTCATCGCAGTCAGGCGTAAGGGCTAATTGTTTCTATTGTATGATATTCCTTCTTGAGTCGGGATGCCGGAGAGTATCCACGGGATACTTCATTATATACCAGGGTCTGTATAGAATAGATAGAATATGCTACAATTCGTTAGTACTATCACATGCAACGTAATAATCCACATAAAAGAACTACCACGTTTAGTAGTCAGTAGTCAGTAGCCATAGTATCATGGTATATATAGTAGTAGTACCGTCCGCACCAAAGAAAAATCTATACCTCCTCATCCATCCCCTCCCCCTCCGGTCCCTTCATCCCCGACCCCAACGTCTCCCGAATAATCGCCAAAACATTATTCACATCGTCATTACTCAATCTCTCCTCGCGCTCCTCAATAACCGTATCCAACAGCGCCAACGCCCCGTAATCTTCTTCTGGTATTTCCCCTTCCCCTCCCTGTGCTTCCTCGGCCCCATCCACCTCCATCATCCCATTCGTATCCTCTCCACCATTGACTTGCTGTTCCGCATTCTCATCATATTCTTCTTGTTCTTCCCATTCTCCTTCACCCGCCTCTTCACCATCCTCTCCTTCCGTCGCGGGTGCATGTAACCCCACCCCCAGATTCACGATCATCAGCACCTCAGCCTTGGTGAGCCCGTAGGGCTGTAACCTGGTGACGAGCTCCCGAAGCGCATGGTCGAGCGGCGTGGGGGCGTTGATCTGGGATGGTGGAATGGCTGTTGTTGTGGTGGACTGTGCCTGAGCTTGTATTTGGGCGGGGGTGAGGTGCGTGTATTTGGGGTAGTTGAGGAGATGGGGGGAGAGTCGGGTGACGTAGTTGTGAATCTAATAATGATTTGATCAAGTGTCAGCTTTTCTGGTTTGTGCATGTGCTGCAAGAAAGAGTGTGTACTCCGCAGCTGGGTGGTGCGTAGCTGGGGACCGTCTAAAGAGCCCGGCAATGCATTCAACCACGCATAGCTACTCGACAGAGAAACACATAGGGTGTGGATATCAATTCAATAAAGGGATGCGCACCTCCTTAACAACGGTATTGTGGTCTCGTAGATCCGGACTGGGAACCCAGTTTCTGGAGTTCGGCGGCGGGTTCGGTGGTCGCCGTGGTGGGTTGGCCGTTAAATAGGCCAGGACCTCTATGTTGGTGAGGGTGGCGGATTGGGGATCGACGATCTGTGTTTCACTACTTAGTATGATACTCTATGAGAAGGGCTATTGGATCAAAGATTACCCTCATTGTGATGGTCTAATTGTGTAGATTGGGGTGATATTGGCCGATTGATAGGTGGATAATGCGACGCGGGAAAAAAAGTGCTGGAAATGCGGGGCGGAGAAGGAATTGGGCTGATTCTGCCGGGTAATGAGGGGAGGGCGGTGAGAGGAGTTTTGCATACTGTATGTAGTAGTAAAGAGTGATACTGGTGCAATCTATTAAGTCTCTTGAATGAGGTAAGGATTAGAACTAGGTGAACCAAATGCCTCACACCATGTACATGCTCTTCTCCACTGGTCTTGGTTGAACATTTCGACAAGCCTCAAACGCGTACTTATTGCCCCAGTCCATCGCTTCTTTCTCTAGTGATTTGATGTCAACTCCATGTAGCACACCCATCTGCTCCTGTAGATCCCTTAACACATCCAGTAGCCACGTCCGGCATGTTCTGTTTTCGCTGTCGTTCAGATGTCCGTCGTAGTTTCGGCAGACACGGTCTAAAGTCCCCTGCGCTGAGGTAGTGGACGGTATGGTTGCAATCTGAATCAGACCCACAAGGAGGAAGGCCTTGAGGATGCCGGTCCCTGATTCGGGGCCATGTCCGGGAATCCAACCGTTGCCTTCGTTGGTGATATGGTACTTGATGCCGCTGTTGATGCGGTGGTAGTAGAGCGCCCAGTGGTAGTCGTTGGGCTTAGGAGGATCATCACGAATGAAGAGCGCAATGTAGAGCGCGTTGGGATCCATTTTGGGATTTAGAGTAGTATAGAAAGCACTCCGGAGATCAAACTGGATTGGGATAGGATGGATTACACCGGATCCATGATGCTATAGAAGTGGACATACCATATGCAGGGGGTTAGCGGCTGGCTTGCTGCAGACACCTGCACGTGCCTGCAGGCAGTAAATGCAATGCAACCACTTCACCTCTTATCTATATTCATCAACGCACTCAGATGGCACCACCACTATCTTGAATTGAGGTGCTGGATGCACATGAGAGTTGACTGCTTTCTCAACTATGATCTATCGAATATTGGCGGTTAAACCTTCACATTCAGATTAAGCTGAAACTAGGCTGGGTGAGTATGCACGAGATAAGGGGGAAAAGCTTAGCCAGACCAGCATGTTGTTCTTGCAGGATCCGGACTACTGGCTAGCTTGTTTAACATAAAGTCGCCGGCACTAATGCTAGGGCTGACTGCATCGACACTACAGAGCTGACTGCAAGTACAGACGTCCAGATAAGCTAGACAGGGAAAAAAGTCAATCGGTAGACTTGAATCATGAGAGTCCTGTGCCTGTCCACCATCCCTGTCGTCCGGCCTGTGTCGCGTGCTCGACGACCACTGCTATATTGATCAATTCCGTACGGCCCGATGCAAGCGAGCCATGAACCCTGAACCAACTTCTAGAACAGAGATGTCTACCGAGTTGGCGAGTGGGACGGCGAGACCCGGCATGGACGGTGAATAATCATTTGTCAACCCTCACTCATCTGTTTTCGCCTATTCAACCGCCAAGTTTTTCAACCGAATTTAATTAAGATATCCACTTCCATATTGTGCACCAAAGGCTCTCATATCCACTCTCCCCTAGAAACCTAGCTTTGTCAGGCTTTTGAAATCCGTCGTCTTCGCGCTAGAGGCGGCTGGCGCTTTCACGGGGCCCACTGAACCCAAAGTTCGGTTGCCAATGATAAGGCAATGTCGCCGCTGGTTGTCTTCGCCTACCCACCTCATCGGTTCACCTGTGCAATAATGGCATCTACAACGATCAGATAACAGCAAATGAGGAAACGATCGTCATCGGGAGGCGGTCCACTGAAACGAGAATATTCTTCGACATACAGACTCAGGCGACAGAACCTGAGTAATTGAGGGACCTGGGTAGTGGGACTTGCGAGTACATCGGAGGGATTTGGTACGGAGCTAGCGGAAAAGAGCCAATTTGGCTACTCTTATGACATGATCGGGTTCATTTTCCTGAGGAGCTAGCAAGTTATTGACTAAGCGGAAACGAAGAAGGCAACTTGGTGCGTGCCAAAAAGCGTTTCTCCGGGACCTTCGCGGACCCTATGGAAATATAAAGGGACCTGCCCGTTTCACCATGACTGGATGAGAATCTCTATCCTCACCCAAAATCATTCTCACCATGAAATCCTTCCTGCTTGCAGGCCTCATTGCCACTGGCTCTGCTCTTGGGGCCGTGGCCTCTCCCCGTGTCCACGCATCGCCGAAGGGTAGTTCGTATGACTACATCATCGTGGGTGGTGGACCGTCTGGTATCATCACTGCCGAACGCTTGATCGAGGCCAACAAGACCGTGTTGCTCTTGGAGAGAGGTTATGGACCTACCGTGGCTACTGGATCCAATGAAACCCTCGTCTGGAACAAGACCTTGACTGCGGTTGACCTGCCTGGACTGTCTGCTGACATTGGTGCCCTGCCTCAGTGGGAGGAATACCTCTGCTCTGATGTCGCCGGTTATGCTGGGTGTGTGCTGGGTGGTGGTGTGACCTTGAACTACATGGTCTTCGTTCACCCGCCGGACCGTGACTTTAACGATAAGTGGCCCAAGGGATGGAAATGGGACGACGTGAAGCCTGCTGCAGACAGGCTCTATGAGCGCAACCCCGGAACCATCTTGCCCTCCGCCGATGGCAAGCGCTACGACCAGGGTCTCTACACCGTCCTCTCCAACTTCTTCAACAAGATCGGCTGGAAGTCCGTTGACATGATTGCCGAGCCCAACGAGAAGCACGAGGTCTACAGCTACCCTGCCTGGAACATCAAGGACCAGATGCGTGCTGGTCCCGTCCGCACCTACCTGCCCTTGGCTGAGAAGAGCAAGAACTTCAACCTCCGTCTCGGCACCAAGGTGCTTCGCCTCCTGCGCGCCGGCAGCCAAGTGACTGGTGTGGAGGTCGAGAACTCTTTCGGCCGCCGGGAGAACATCACTCTGGGCTCCAACGGAAGGGTCGTCCTCTCTGCCGGTGCTCTCTCCACTCCTCGTATCCTCTTCAACTCCGGCATCGGACCCAGCTCTCAGATTGAGATCGCCCAGCAGAGCGGCGTGATCGTCCCCCCCAAGAAGGACTGGATCAACCTTCCCGTCGGTATCGGTGCTAAGGACCACCCTATCTTCTCTATCATCTTGAAGACCAACGGCACCAGCTATGGCCTTCCCGACTACGACGCCATCGTGAACGGCTCCGATGTCTCTGACATTAGCCTCTACGCCCAGGGCAGCGGTCTCCTCACCGAAGGAAAGCACCGCATGATCTTCTTCACCTCCAACGTCGTCGACGGCCAGAAGCGTTACTACCAGGGCTCTTGTGCTCCCTCCGGCACCAACGAAGTCACCATTACCGCCTACATGACCCACGGTCTCACCTCTTCCGGTGTGCTCGGCCTGGACACTGATGGCTCCACCGTCTGGGACAAGTCTCCCTACCTCACGACTGCCGGTGATCGCGCTGCCGCCACTGCTTTCCTCCAGCAGATCGTCGGAGAATTGACCGCCCCCTCTACCGGATTCCAGCTGGAGACTTACACCAACGTCTCCGCCATCCTAGGAAGCGTCAGCCCTGGTATGCACTACACCACCTCGGCCAAGATTGGCACGGACGATGGCCGCTACAACAACGGCACCTCGGTCGTTGATCTCAACACCAAGGTCTATGGCACTGACAACCTGGTATGTACACCCCCATCCCCACTGCTGCCTTGCTCCGCACTGTTGAGACCCATCTTGCTAACTTGTATCTTGTACAGTTCATCGTCGATGGCAGTATCCACCCTGACCTTCCTACCGGTAACATCCAGGCTACTATCATGGTTGTTGCCGAGGCGGCTGTTGCTAAGATCCTTGCTCTGCACTGATCTTGCCATCGCTACCATGTCTTATAGAGCCTAGCTCCTGCGAGCTGTGGCATGAATTCTTCCATTGTATAACTAAGTTCATGAGATAGAATAACCTTAATGTTGATCGATAATGATGATGATCAGTCAATGGCATTGTCGTTCTTGTATCTTGTCTTTATTTCCTTTATTTACGTCTAATAGCTGTTGATATAGAACAGATAGACAGTAGTAGCGTCTTCAGCACTCAATTGGCTCCGTATAAGACAACATGGAGAAGAGAGGTGAGGCGAAATCGTTTCAACGTGAGGGTCAGAGATAGGTGTTAGTATTTGTAGCGTCGCGTATGCCGCTTGCTGTGCAGGAAAATAGGAAGTCATTTTCTGTATCTGAAATTCACTCAAATCCTTGCACGCTAAAGATGAGAAAAAGGGGACTTTAAAACCATGCTGGCCTCGAATTACAGAATCTACCAAGGGACCTGAAACAAAACTCTAATGGAGTTGACTGTGTTGCAGTTATCATGGGCCAGTAATCATGGTCATTTATCAGTAAAAGGTACGTACAAGCCCAGCGGCAGAAGACTGGTCTAGATAATATCAACCATTGCAACTACAAACATTACTACTACCATGGGAAAATCCAACTCAGAAAGAACATTATTTCTGGAACTTGAACTGCCTTATACCAACAAGCACCTCTGCGCCAGGGGATGATAGTAAGATCCATCCATCAAATGCCACCCAAACATATAATCTTCAAGCAAAATAGCAACAGAGAGAGAGAAAAAGGAAAAAGAGAAGAAATTCGGCCCACATGGTGTGATATCATACAGAAATTTGAAGCATTCCCATCAGGTGTGTTGATTGTGAAACTTTTTTGTTTGAGGACTTCATTCGAATTTACTCCTCACCCTTCTTCTTCTTCTTCTTTTTCTTCTCGGAGTTGTCGACTTCGCCGTCGTCTGACCGCTTGCGCTTCTTCTCCTCACCCTTGGCCGACTTCTTGGACTCCTTCTTGGCCTTCTTGATGTCCTTCTTGCTGACCGCGCTGGGGTTGCCCTCAGCGTCGAACTGGATTTCTCCACGCTCAAGCTTGCGCTTGTACCGCTTGAGGCTCAGACCGGCCTTCTCAGCCAGCTTCTCGAGCTCAGAGTCCTTGCTCTTCTTGGACTTCTTGTCGGTCTCCTCGTCGGACGAGTCAGACTCCTCGTCGGAGTCAGCATCGGCCATCTCCTCGTCCTGAACCTCCTCTACGAGCTTCTTGCTCTTGCTCTTCTTAGCGGAAGCGGGCTCGTCGCCCGTAACAGCATCAGCATCGGCGTTGTATTTGCGGGCTTCGTTGATCTCGAACTTCTGGGCCTGAGGAGCGCCGTTGGGGGCAATGGCAGTACCACGAGGCTTGAGGGGCTTGCCCTCCATGGCGGCAAGCTTGCGCTCGAGGTTGTAGCGGGCTTCCGTACCGAGAGCAGCCTTGTCCTCCTCGGTGGCATCGTCGTCCCACTCAGCGAGAGCATCCACACGCAGACCAAGGGAAGCCTTGGCAGCCAGAACTCTGGCCATCTTACCCTTGTTCTTGCCGGTGGCCTGGCCGATCAGGGAGGCGTGGTAGATCAGACCGTACTTGGGAGTGTCGTGCTTGGTCTTGAGAGCACGGAACAGGGCCTTCTCGGCACCCAGAATCTGGATAGTACTGGCGGGGCTCTTGGACAGGTTGGTCAAGCTACCAGCGTGGGCGATAAGACGGGCACCGACCAGATCACCGACGAGGGCAGTCAGGTTGGGGGCGATGGCGTTCATACGGGCGGTAAGGTAGCCAGCCAGTTGTTGACGGTACTCAGCGAAGCCAACGACCTGCTCGGCCAGAGCTTGAATGTGTTCCAGATCCTCCTGGCTGATCTCGGTACCCATGGAGCGGTCCGCAGCAGCCTTGACGGCACCCTCAATCTCCTCGGGGAGGATCTCAGCGAGATCGGAAGACTCCCAGTTGGTGCGCATGCCCATCTTGAGGACGAGTCTGGCGTAGGCGATGTTGTCGTTCAGGATCTTCGCCAGCTCAGGGAAGTGCCATCCGTACCATTCCTTCACACGCATGGCGTAGTTGTTGAGCTCCTTGTCCAAGTCGTCAAGCAGACCAATGGCCTGCACAATCATGGTGTCGATCTTGTCGGGGGAGAACTTCAGCTTGTGTCTAGCGAGAGAGTGCGACAGACCAAGGGACATGGTGGACATGTCCTGAGGAAGAAGGCCGGGAATGAGGGTGGGCAGGTGTTCACGAATGGCACGGAAAACATCGGTGGTGGAAGAGTCGGCCACCAGCTCGATGGAGAGACCGGGGAGCTTGCCAATGGCATTGCCTATATCAATTCCAGTCAGTCACACGAAAATTTTATCCTCAATTTTCCGCACAAGTTTGCGCCACATACCGAGCTTGGGGTCGGCGACAGCCAGAGAAACCTTCTTCTCATCCTTGACTTCGTCCAAAAGGCTGGCCAGGCGAGGAGTGACCTTTCCTTCGACGAGGGAAGCGACCTCCTCCAGGGCGGTAGCAGCGCTGTCGAACTTCTGGAAGCTCTTCAACTTCAGACTACAATTGCGGCGGTTAGCCGGGGTCCAGACGCGGTGGGGGAAAATTTTTGCTTTTGAGACACCACGCGCAGATAATAGATAATCGAGGGTGAATTGAGTAAACAATGCATGAGAATGCACTTACAGGTTAGAAACACCCTCTGCGGTGGAAGCCTCAGTAGCCAGATCATCTCTCTTCAACAGCTTCTTGTCCTTGGCCTTGAGCAGGGCATAGCCCGCACTGGTTTCCGTAAGGATAAAGAGCGTCATGGTGCACGGCCTCGACTTCTAGCTGCAAGAAAAAAGACAGAGGAACAGCTAGAGGTGAGAAGGGAAAAGGCCGGGGGGTGGGAGGAAATTGGCGTGCTGGACGGGATGGACTGAAATCCGCTGGGAATATTTTTTAACCTCAAGAAACTAAAAAGTGAAAAAAGCGAAAAGCGCCATCCGAGTGTGGCTGGTGGTGCCGCCGCCCGTGGCTGGTGCAAAGCCCAGATTATGTAAGCCCCACGGGATGCCGATGCGTCGACGAGTGGTCGTCAGTCTATCAACTGCGGAGAGCTTGTAAGTGGACATCTGGACTTCTGCCCATCTGCTAGCCCACCATGGAGGGTCTTTTTTTCAACGTCAACAGCGGGTATGTCTTGACTGTCGCATTTTATAATTTCTTACCTTCAGGTCGCTGATTGAACGTTCATAGTTATATCGAGGGTATTGTCCGTGGTTATCGGAACAGCCTCCTAACCGGCCAACACTACTCCAACCTGACCCAATGCGAGACGATTGATGGTCCGTCGATCTGCAGCTGCCCTCTTACTCCCTTGATAATTCTAACATTACCTTGCTTCTGGCAGATGTCAAACTGCAGCTCGCCCCCGCCTATGGCGACTTCCTCGCCTCCCTCCCTCCCAACCCTTCTACCTCTGCCCTTGCGGGCAAGATGACGGATAAGCTGGTCGCTGAGTTCCGCTACCTCCTCGCGCAGGCCACGGGGTCGACCGCCAAATTCTTGCAATACCTTACGTACGGGTACATGATCGATAACATCGCACTGCTCATCACCGGTACTCTGCACGAACGTGACACTCGCGAGCTCCTCGAGCGATGCCACCCCCTAGGCTGGTTCGAGACGCTGCCTGTTCTTTGCGTCGCCACGAACATCGAAGAACTATACAACTCTGTGCTGGTTGAGACGCCGCTGGCCGGTTACTTCAAGAGCAGTCTGAGCCATCAAGATCTAGATGAACTGAACATTGAAATCGTGCGCAACACGCTCTACAAGAACTACTTGGAGGACTTCCACCAGTTCGTCACTACACACCCTGATTTCAAGGGCACTCCCACACAAGAGGTTATGTCCGAGATTCTGCAGTTCGAGGCAGACCGCCGTGCCATCAACATCACCCTGAACTCGTTCGGAACGGAGCTGTCGAAGCAAGAGCGGAAGAAGCTGTACCCGGAGTTTGGAAAGCTGTACCCAGAGGGATCGTTGATGCTCTCGCGCGCTGATGATATTGAATCTGTGGCTCTGGCAGTGAGCATTTCTGCGGACTACAAGGCGTTCTTTGATGCTGTTGGTCTCACGCAGGGTGGTGGTGGCCTAGGTGGCATGGGTGGCTCGGATGGAAAGAGTCTGGAGGACCTGTTCTACCAGAAGGAGATGGAGCTGAGCAAGGTTGTGTTCACACGGCAGTTCACTCCGGCTGTGGTGTACGCATGGATGAGACTGAAGGAGCAGGTGAGTTACCCTTTTTCACAGACCAATTTAGCATCTACTAACAATGGACCGCAGGAAATCCGCAACGTCACATGGATTGCCGAGTGCATTGCCCAAAACCAGAAGGAGAGAATTGGAAACTTCATTTCCGTTTTCTAGATACCATCTCTTGTTGTTACCCCATCATTGTCCTTTCTCTCTCTTGAACTATACGCCAAAATATGTACTCTTTTCCCCGCACCCGTTGCACGTGTGACTCTAGGGCGCCTTTGTTTCCTCCTATCTCCGCTGTGTCTAGCAGTACCCAGTCCCTGTAATGAGCGCATAAATCGGCCCAGCATGTCCATGCTAGTTGTTTTGGCTCTTCGATCTTTTCTATCCTTGACCCCACGGCGTTTTGGGATTTTCGCTTCTTGTGATATAGTATATAGATAACGCCGACATTATCTACCCTGAAATTGTGGTTGCTATTGTTGTGGTATTATGAGTAGAATAAGAACAGACGACATTGATGCTAGAGTGGCCAGCATTTCTCGAATGTATTTGTTCATGGACATGGACATGTGCTAAGCTCTGAGCCAATCTGTCTACAGAAATTATCCAGACAGTCGCGATCCAAAGTGGAAAACCCAAAATTAAGGGCGACACACAAGGTGTCAGAATAACGAAGCCCCGAGATTCTCATACAGCATTAAACGTGTGAAACATGAGCGAAGTCATGAGAAGATGGATCCAGGGAGTCATAACTGTGCATTGGGAACACATTGGACGTGTCTTTATCCGTTCCTCTCAGGCTCCGTTGAGTAGGTTTCAGAAAAAGTGATCGATGGTATGCGATGGTATGCTTATGGAAACCAAAGTAGTATAGCAAATGTCAAAGACAATATAAAGAAAATTCATCAAGATATAACCTCAATTCGTCACTCCTTTTTCAAAAGGTGTCATCTATCCCTGCCATGGGAAAGAAAAGTCGCATGCAATAAAATCAATGATTTGGTTGGTTAGTCGTACTGGAAAAGAGTACTGATACTCTCACCGTGGTGGACACGGCGGATAGCCTACAGTTCGTTAGCTATGCTTCAGGGGCTGGAGCTCCGACGAACTTACCTCAGCGAAAACGTGACCGACTTCCAAAACCTCCAACTTAGGGCATCTGCGCAAGTGGTCTGCCTGGTCAACGCTGTTTGTAACCACCACCTTATCGAGTGCGCTAGCATTGATCCGATCAATGGCATCTCCACTCAAGATTCCGTGGGTGACCAGAGCATAAACCTGTGCAGCTCCTTCCTTCTTGAGGAGCTTCGCCGCTCGGGTAATGGTGTTCGACGTGTCCGCCAGGTCGTCAATCAGGATCGCTGTCCGACCCTTAACATCTCCCACCAACATCATGGTAGCGTTCTGTCGATCCGTTATACGGGTAGGACGACGTTCCTGAAAGTGGTTAGTATCTCCATGTAAAGAAGTCAGTAGGCCGAATACTAACCTTGTGGATAAGGGCGAATTCAACACCCATGCCATCGGCAATCGCCGTAGCACGCTTCGCACCACCAGCATCGGGACTGACGATCACGGCCTGCTTGTAGTTGGGAATGTTCCGCTGGATGTAGCTCTTGAGGAGTGGGCGGCCGTACAGGTTGTCAACCGGAATGTCGAAGAATCCCTGGTACTGAGGGTCATGGAGATCCATGGTGATAATGTGGTCTGCACCAGCGCAGGTGAGCAGGTCCGCGACCAAGGTACCGGCCTGAGCCACCCACTGCTTGTAGCCGGGGCGGGGTTGGAAGTTGTTGATCTTCTCGTCGGCACCGTTGAGTGCGAACCTGTTACCTTCAGACTGCAGGGACTCCATGGTATCGCTGCGGGGAAGACCATTGACCGGGCGTTGCTTCTTCACAGGGCTGCCATTGCTGATATCTTCCAATTGAGCCTTGGCCAAGCTCTTCTGCAGGTTATCGACGCCGTTCAGACCGTTCAGAAGACCTCCAGTTTCGGACTTCCCCGGAAGTGGGGTAGGCGGGGTACTCTCAAAGGTGTAATTATTGCCTGGCCTCCCCGCAAGGGATGACTTGACCAAAGGAGCTCCGGTCTTGTTGTAGGGAATGTCACTCTGACGCGAGTACGGGAAAAGCGGGAGGACCGCAGTGACTCTCTTGGCGGAGGCGGTCTTGCAAGCCGAGATGGTAATCAGAAGCTCCATGAGGAGATCATTCACCTTTCCACCACCGGACTGAATGATATAGACATCCTTTCCACGGACGGATTCCTTGATCTCCACTCGGGTCTCACCCACGGAGAATTTCGACAGCAGAACATCTGCCGGCGGGATGCCCAGCACGTTGCAGATGGTCTGAGTCAATTGCGGGTGGGAAGTGCCCCCGATAACAACGATGTTCCGGACCATATTGGACTGTTCTTCAGACTTGGAAGGCTGTGGGAAGCTGGGAGGATAGAGAGTCACAGGAGAGGATGACCGATTCGGAAGCGGGGACAAAGGAGGAAAATCTGGTAAAACGGCGGATCTGGAGGGGCGGGAGGAATGGTGAGATTAGCACGATAAAAGACGAGCTTGGAGATAGCAAAAGAAGAATAAGTAATCTCGTGGTGAGGACAGACAGGCAACTACCTCATGGCGGGGATTCAGGAACGGGGTCCAAGCGAATGTATGGGGAAGACATTGAAACGGAGAGATCGAAGTCGTGTGAGTCCGCCATAGAGACGACCGAAAAAAAAAATGCCTCTCCCGCGAGTGGAACCGGCGTTGCTGCAGCCTCGGGTGTCTGCCGTTATGAGCCTCAGGCTGCAACTTGCCCTATCGGGCTAGGAATGTCTGGTCGCCATCGACGCATTCAACGGCCCCGCAGCCACACTAAAAATGACCCGGACTTGTTCTCCAGCCTTGTCCTTCCTGGAACCTGGGGATGGTCAAGTAATAGTCGATCGAGGGAATGAAGGGGCGATGCACACCACCATCCAGGCAGTCAACATTTGTTAGGCTGAGAAACAACCAGTCGTTATTTTCCCTGTTTGCAAGAAAATTGAAAGATAGCAAAAAAAAGAAAAAAGAATTCAACTTTAGCCTTGTCCGTTACAGATGGCAGCTGGCGCATTACACCAAGATGAGTAGTCTCCATTTGCCGGTAGGTACATGGAAACTAAATATGATAGGAAAATTATCCCAGAAGCAACAAGGAAACAGAAAAGGCTGGATTTCCATTCAGTCCTCCGTATTCCTATCGCGCAGGCCGAGAGACCCAGATGTAGGCAACCCGGAAGCCTGGAGTCTCACATAACAACAGAAGTCGTCTAATGGCTTGTTGGAACTAATTACCTGCCAATTGTATGGTCAGCAACACATCTCCTTGTGAGGTGCTTCGAGCTCGGTATGTGATTGAGCTTCATTCGAAGGGTTGGGAGGAATTTGCTCACAGATCTACTTGTTTGGCATGGCCACACTCACATGGTCACCGGATGAACAGGCGCAAGGCCATCAAGCTAAAGGTAAAAACTGGAAGTTAGCTAGGTTGTATGTTCATGTTAGCCATAGTGTGTAAGTCGTTGAAGTGCAGATGAAGACAGAGTGTAAGAGTTTGTAGTTTCTTCGTGGGCCAGCTGTCACTGTTATGCTGAGCACTGTTTAGTTTTGTTGCTACCCCTTAAAACCCCACTCTTCCTCATCAAAGACATCTCTGAAGCGGAGAGAGACTAACCTGTTTTTGACCCATGGACTGTAATCCCTACTCATCTATACCAAGATTCTCATGTTTCACTTCTTCTGAGGGCCGGCCATGGAACTCCGGCTCTTGTCACCAAAGCACACTTCTGGGAGCCTGGTCCCGGAACATTACAACGGCCACTGATAAGGCAACGAAGTTGGGCAATGCGTAGGACAAGCGTCTAAGATTAGGAGATGCAACAACAAACACGTGACACCGTATCGCAGAGGCCCGACGATGGAGGTGAGACACCTAAGCCGTAAGGGGACTAGACTGAAGAACGCCGATATCCCGCGGAGAGAGAGTCCCGAAGCTACATGCCAGACATTATGGTTTCAATGCTTGGAAACTTCTGCGTGTCTCTCAATTAACGCGCATCAATGGGACACTTCTTCGAGAACTGAATATCGATATCGCCTCAAATGCCAAGTCGCCTTATCTTACGGCGTCCGTCTCCGACGACCGTCTCCTTCACAGTTTCCAATGCCTCCAGACGCACGAGCACGCCAGCAAAGGCCTTCTTCTACCTACAGATTTTGTTGCGCGCAGTGACCTTTTTCTGTGTGCTTCTCCTTGATGCTGCGAAGTTCCGCCGTACATTTTTCATGGAAGATGGCTCATGGATACGTTGGACAACAATCTGGTCGAGTGCGCTGGGGATATCCGTCTGTCGCACCGCGGATGCGTACAGCTCTATGGTGGTAGTTTTGGCCAGCGCAATAGTTTTCTACGGTGTTTTCAGGAAGGGATACACAGGTTCGCCCAGACAACCTTCAGGGAAAGGGATACGTTTGATACTGACTGCGCTTTGCTCCGAAACAGAAGAGTCGCTCCTGGTCATACGCGGTCTCGGTATTCAGACGTCTACCTCCTCCCAGACCTACCTGTCAAAGGCTTCGACCAGGTTCATACCCACTACACAGATTCAGGATATCGTGATACATGAAGCTTTCAAGGGATTTGAGGTTAGGTTCTACCTGGCAGTAATCGTCGAAGGTGAAAGCGAAGTGGTTGTGGTGTTCCCTGTGAGTACCTACCGATACCTATTCAGCACCCACCCGTAGGACCTGCGATGTCGGATGTCTAATGCGAGCCAGAAATTGTTACCAAATCGGCAAATACTAGAGGAGGTCTGGAGGGGTTCACGGAGCTGTCTGTATGATTCGAAGTCATAATGGAGCCCAGCTTCACGTCTTGAGAAAAATCAATAGCTTTCTGCTTGAGAGGTGGGCCATCTTGCACATATATTCGAGAAGTGAGTATATACAATCTTCTGTCTACTGTTCCATTTTGGTGGCCTTTGCGCCATTCTCCATCTTGCGCTGCTTTGCCGCCAGCCACCTCGCATTCTGGACTTCCACGAGCTCGGTCTTTCGCTTCTGCATGACTGGAACATAGTACCCGCCGGTTCTGGCTTCATTAGACCCCACAAAGATTTTCTTACCCCGGTTCTTTCTCTCCCAGATTGGCTCGACTCCATCACCAATGGTGAGACTCTTGTCGCCCTGACTGACGGCCAAGTCTAGTAATGCGCCAGCCAAGATTTCCTCCATCTTGCGCTGCCTCCAAACAGACCAGAGCTCCTCTACGATTCCTCCAAGACCAAACTTTCCACCTCCCTTGCCGAGGTGAGACTTGATCTGTCGAACGTCACCCGCATAAACCCAATCCAGGCTATCAGCACGGCTGCCGCTCTTCTTATCGGGGTAGATGCAGTCCCAAAGCACCAAGGGGGCATCGGAAGCCATCTCGTAGGTTGGCTTTCGCGGGTTCTTAGTCACGTCAAGGAGATCCCGTACGATGGAGGGTTCCTCGAGCCCCTGACCGACAAGGAAAAGGACATTGACCATGTGTCGGACCTGATGCCACAGGAAAGCAGAACCCTCCAGATGGAAGACATATACCTGCGCTGCTGTTGGCAGAGGTGCCGCTGAAGACTCTGCGCTTTCATCCGCACCGGATGCGGGTCTAGCCTGGAACTCTGGCTGAGTCACATAGCCCAGGGGATTGGTTCGAGCATCGAGAAGCTCAATATCAGCACGGAAAATGTCTCGGTAGAAAGACTCGATCTGTTTCGTCACGTCCAATTTACAGAAGTTCCGGAAGTCGTGTGTACCTTCGAAATACTTCGCAGCTTTGCGCATCGCTTCAATGTCCAACCAACCCTCTCTCAGCTTCGGAGGCTTGCCTGATCCATCTCGCGGCACAAAGCCCGAAGCACCCGGCGTAGGAGAAAAGGCCGGCTGCGTGAAGAAATACTTGTAATGGCGCTCCCCGCAAGAAAAGCGGGCATCGAACCCCTCAGGAGGACGTGGGCACCATGCCAATACACGAATATCTTCAGGAAGCACCTTGTTCAACATGCTCACGTAGGGTAGCTCATCTTTAACGTCATCCCAGCCATCGTCGGCCGACGCATTGGCCTCGTCCGTATTCTGCATGGTGGTATCGGCATTCTCGTCCGACTGAACGACCTCGTTGCGCTTCGGCCGTGCACTCCGCACTCTAATGCCAATTACCTGCCCAAAAGCACTGACTCCTCGATCCGTACGCCCAGCTTTGGAATATTCACATCCATCCCAATTGATATAGTACGGCTTCGTCTCCCTCGGCGCATAGCTCTCCACAAACTCATCACCAGTTGTATCGGTCGGGAAAATCAACCGGGTCTTCCGTAAAGCCTTGTACATCTCCTCCTCGATCGTAGATAGTGGCGTGGCATTCCCGTTCGCATGCTCAAGCCCATTGTACCGCTGTCCAAGATAGGCGAACTTCAACGCGATGAACCGTGTATTATATCTCGACGGATCGATCTCCCTGCGCGGTTTCGGGGGCTTTGGCGGCTTCACCTGCTTCTTCTTCTCCGCTCCCGCCGCAGGAGATGAAGGCTCCTTCTGGTTCACTTTCCCATCACTAGGTGCACTCTTGGCAGCGTCTTTGGCCGCGTCCTCGGGCTGCTTCGCAGGGGGTGTAGCATACTCCGCGGTGCGGGAGTGTAACTGGCGTTCTAATTCAGTGATTCGGGCGACGAGCCTCGACGTAGTCCATGTCGAGTAGTCGGCTTCGTTGGTAGGGACTTGTTGGTCCTCGGCCATGTTCCCGGACATGGTACTTGTAGGTTGGGAATCGACTTGGGCGTGCGAGCGGGACAGGGATTGGAATGTGCGCCTCGTTGTTGAGGGTGTACGCTGTGCTGATGTGCGACTCAAGAAAGAACAAAGGTTTCCTTGGAACCTTCGCATCCCTATGAGCACGTTGTGTGTGTGTCCCACGCTGCTGGGTTGCCGCGGAGGGGAGATTTTTGCGGCAAAAATTTAGACTTCTGATAGTACTATTGGTGGTGATCTTGTAATGGATGCGTATGGTAATGTTACATAGGTGGTCGTGGCAAGCTGTATGAGGTATCTTTTGTATTGCATGGTAAGATGGCAGGTAGCATGACTTTCGTATTTTGCTTATCCGTCATTTGCATAATAAAAAGTCGATTTGTCGGGTTTTATTGAAGACATCTTCTTTGCAAAGGAGATTTGGGGGATCTTAACTACAAAAGGCGTGAGCTGCAGCACATGGCTGCGGTCAGGTTCCGCTTTATATCCGCAGATTATCATGAACGTTGCATACTCAATCGAACCCTGCTTTTATACCATTAAGCGTACTATGCGACACACTAGATGTGTCTGAATCGACGCCAATATATATCTCCTTGTCTGATATAAAGTCCAGAGTGTATCAGAAAATCGCATCCAATGGCAGGAAACAGTCTCCCGCAGGATGAACAGACAGTGACTATTCTGCTCCTCGGAGACCCGGGATGTGGTAAAACAACATTTCTATCGTAAGTGCAACAGCCTTGTAGCATGCGCTGCCTATTTCTCAAAGTACTTTCATTTACTAACAACCCATCAGGAGCTTGAAGTCCAATCTTCGTAGACACCAAGGACAGACACCTAGTCAAGGGAATTTTGAGGAAACCCTTCTACGGGACAGTGACCAGCCATTCATCTACGAAATTCGCTTCTCCAAGAAGTCATTTAAACTTGAAGTATATGACACCGCAAGTCCCAACCAACATTGGTCTACCTTGCAGCCTGATGTTATACTTCTGGCATTCGATATCTCGAATAGAGACACCTTGAATAATCTTCGCAATGTAGGACATACTCCGTGTTTTACATGTTGTTGTGCCTATTAATACTGACTTACATGCTATAGTGGCGAAATGATATCACCAGGTACTTCCAGAACGGTTATGGTGAACGCATACCCATTATGTTGATAGGGTTGAAGAGAGATCTTAGGGTGGAATGTGAGGGGATTATATATCCTCAAGAGGTGAGTAGACCCTCTCAATCATCGGGCTCGATTGTTCAAGTCTATCTGTGCTGTACGCAGGATCGGAGCTAACTAATACATAGTCGTATCGGATTGCGCAGGAGCTTCGATGTGATCGATATGCGGAGTGCTCTGCTGTCACTGGGGAACTCTTACGAGAGACGTTTGAAGATATTGCGCGGCTTGCTGGAATGACGACTACGGCGGCTGGAGGCCAAACTGCTGGCGCTTGTGTTATTCTTTAGTATATTTGATACCCTTATTGATACGGTGGATCCATATGGTATAGATATGTGGATAGGTTTAGTCCAATTACTTGGCTTAGAATCATGGCACTTAATGTCTAACCGTTCCTATCGTCTTTGGGTGATACGTGATGAGACTGGCACCACGGGTATCAGCATGGGCTTCTACGCTTTCTTTCTGACCTACGCCTACTGTTGACTACTAGAGACCACACTTATATATGGAGAACAATGGTAGCTAGCATCACTTTTCGATTACGGCTATGATAAACATACAGGGAGAAACCAAGGTAACGATTAAGTCCACCTTGTGAAATTGACAGCACAGGGCTTTCCCCCAGAAGCTCACTGAGGCAAGAGAACAACTGGATATCTTTCCCTCATAAGCGCCAGTCAATCATTGACAATGCAATTCCTCCCCGATGCACCATAAGCGGAACGTGAAAACGGACTGCAGAAGGAGACTTCGCTGTAGCATACCACGAAAGAAGAAGTAGGAAGATGATGTTTTGAAGTAGTGAAGCTCCCGTTGATTCTTTTCCTCTTTTTTCTTCTTTGTCTTTTTTGGAATACCTGAACTGAAACTAGGATGGACACGACAAGGGATTTTTTGTTCTTTCATTGCAAGGAACCGCCGGAAGGACGTTCCTTGATGATTAAGGGGTCCTCGTCACCCTCAACCAATCGCCATTGTTTCGTCAATCCTCGTTGCGAAGTCCAGATGTTTACCACTTAGCCTCGGTGGGCTGGGCCTCAGCCCAGCTCTCACCAGCAGGAGCGGCAGAGCTGGCAGCCCAGTCGCCACCCTCGGCCTCCCAGCTGGCAGCACCAGCAGCAGCGCTAGCAGCAGCGAAAGCAGTGCCAGGAACACCGGCACCGGCACCGGCAACATCCCAGTTGTCACCAGCGAAGCCGGACTCGATGGCACCAGCACCGACCTCCTCAGCGCTGGCAACCTTCTCCTCAACGACCTCCTTGTTCTCCTCAGCCTCGGGGTCACGGTAGAAGTACAAGTCGACAACGACGTCCCAGTCAACCTCACGGGAAGCGAGGGTACCACGGAGGCGGAGGACCTCACGGGCAAGGAGCCACCAGACGAGACCGATGGCGTGGCGACCCTTGTTGTTGGTGGGGATGGCAACGTCGACGAAGTCGGTGGGGGAGTCAGTGTCGCAAAGGGCAATGACGGGGATGTTGACGTAGCTGGCCTCCTTGATGGCCTGGGCGTCGGTGCGAGGGTCGGTGACGATGATCAGGCGGGGCTCCTTGAAAGAGCGGGTGATGTAGTTGGTGAAGTTACCGGGGGTGAAACGACCAGCAATGGCGGTAGCACCGGTGTGGGAGGCGAACTTCAGGACAGCACGCTGGCCGTAGGGACGAGCGGAGATGACACAGATGTCGGCCGGGTTGTCGATGGCGGCGATGATACGGGCAGCGAGGAGGATCTTCTCCCTACAAGTTCGCGCGGCGTTAGGCAACGATTCTGGATAACATGCGCGCATTAGATTCCCTGATAAACATACCAGGTCTTGCCAATGTTGATGACATTGACACCGTCGGGGCGAGTCTTCCAGAGGTAAGGCTCCATGTGAGACTGGAGGTTCTTGGACCCGAGGTGGCACTGAGCTGCGAGGAGCATCTCAATGTCCTGGGAGGTGGGGTTGAAGATCGGGGGGAGCTGAGAGGGGGCCATGGTGGGCGATTGATATTGCAAAGATCGATTTGAGTATATCAATCGTCTGGCACTTGTCGTGGTGGTGGTGACGGGGAGACGAACGCGAAGCTGAACTTTTGGCACCGCGCTTGAGATGGTCGATGAATTTCGCTTGCCCTTTGTGAATTTTAGGGCTAGGGTTACCTTGGAAGAGCCTCCGATCCGCCCGGGATATCACGTGCAACTCCAGGTCCCGATGAGGACTAGTGCAATTCGGGGCCTCGAGATTTTGGAGACTTCCAATCTGAGTCCGCGGCCTTTGATGCGAAGGCGCCCGGAAGTGCTATTTGTTAATCGTTGCGGTCACTCCCTCCCCAGCTCGTGAGAATGCCTCCCCGCATTCTACTTCAGCCCTCCCTGAGGGCCCTCACTGGTAAGTACTGTCTTGCTGCCTCCCCCTTCTGATTCACGCCGAGTAACTGACCGGGTTGTCGTTATTCCAGGCCCTTCCTCCGTGCAGCTCCCCTTTGCCGCATTGTCGCTCAACCCGGCCAAAACCTCCGTGAGAGCTGGGTCTACAGAGTCCCGAGAGCGCAGACGCCATGACCCTTTCCTAATGGCGCAGTCTCGCCAACGCAAGGCCGCCAACATCTCTCGCCAGAAAGCCCTCACCAAAGAGCGCGAAGGGTCTGTCGGCGACCCCGTCCAAAGTGAACCGACGCCCTTCATCCAGGAACTTAAAAAGACGCAAGCGACTTTGCAGGACACAGACCTCAATTACTTAGTTACATCGGATGGTCTCAATGAGGCGTTGGAATACTCGAAGAACCTGACATCACCGATTCGGAACCCGGATCGCGACACTGCTGATCCTCAGCTCGAGAAAGAAGCCGCCGAAAAGCACCTTCAAGAACATCGGAATGCACAGGAAGCCATCCGTCGTATTGTCAGTGTCGCCAACGGAAACACAAAGGACCACATGCGTCTTCATATTCAGAAATGCATTGAGGCCTTTGGCCGGCATAAGACCGACAGCGAATTGCCTCCCAAGCCTTCTGGCGTATCGCATGACTCTGCGACTGTTCATCTTGAAAAAACTCCCCGGGTTGGCCCGGATACTGGCTCTCCGGAAGTGCAGGTTGCTATTCTCACGGCAAAGATCATGAACTTGTCTAGACATCTCCAGACGACGAAAAAGGACCGACACAACAAGCGTAACCTGCGTCTACTTGTTCACAAGAGACAGAAGTTGCTTCGCTACTTGCGGAGGAAGGAGAGAGGTGGCCCTAGGTGGCAGAATCTGATGGAGAAGCTGGGTCTCTCGGAAGCTGCCTGGAAGGGTGAGATCTCCATGTAAATTAGCTCTTTGGCGCTTGTATTCTACATATCTTCTTTTCTTTGTATTTCCACTGCTTAAGCTTAATCTCAGCGTGTAACCTTATGTATCGATCAATGGGCCCTTCCTATTTCATAGTGTCTATGACAAAGAACCTGTGGGTATTTCATGCCCATTGTTCATACTTCACCACTTCTGTGTTGTGATGCGCTGTAAAAACGTCTGTTGTATGTCTTTTGTGATCCTTCTTGCGCCAACCCCTGAAGTGCCTCACCGGCCTTTTCCACTCGTTTATTATCGATCTTATCGTTCCCATCCAGACGATACAAGTAGTTGTAGGAGTAGCAGGGTGTTACTAAAGCCTACTAGTAGTACTGAGTACTCTTGAAGTTGGCCAAGGGCGGCAACAGCAGTCATTGGGCGAAATTCCCACCGCCTGATGTTCTGCCGAGACGTCACCCCCCGAGTCGCAAAATTCCCGCGCAAAAGTTCCCCCAAACTTCATCTTTCTATACCACGACCTTGCTCGCCGAGGTAAGTGAATATCGTCGACTGCCTCCGGGCGCTGATTTGACGCGTCATAACCAACATTACCCAGCAACACGAGGTAACATTCACTGTAAGCCAGTGTTATGTTTTTTTTCAACAAGTCAGTATTGTTTTTATCAACCTGCCTCTTCCCCCCTCTCACTCTCTTCCCCTTCATAATTCCCATCCCTCCGTATCTTCGTCGATATCGCACTTGCGCTACCGATTTACATTGCTTCGATCTCTCATTTGCACGACTCTTTATCCCACCGGATATCTTCTCTCGCAGGTGCTAACTTGCCTTACAAGTTAGATTTAACTCTCCTCCATAACGTCCCTTTGCTTCGCGTTCTTCAAGATCTCAAATCGCGACTAAGCGAGACGATCTTTCTTCTCATACCTCCCGATCAAGGTACCGCGTCGCATCAAGATTACGGCAACCTATAGGGTAGCTTAATCGCCTTTTGTCAACCTGTCCTCACACCTTTCTGTAAAGGTTTCTTACATTTCGTTCCTGTCTTACCTCTTCTCATTACCCGCACCCTTCTAGTCACTCAGTTTGTTGGTGGCTTTGTCTCAGATTGCTGGATTTCACCAGCCTGAATTGAACACCTTTTTGCTTTCACCTTCATCACAGTCAAGATGCGTACTCGTTCACAGCAAGCTTCGCCCGGTGGCTTCGTGTCACTCGAGGAAAATGCCCCGCGTCGAACCAGGTCTGCGAGGAATGCTGCGCACCAGGAACCTGCAACGTCAGAGCAACCCCCGACCCGTGTAAAGTCTCAGCGCGCACCTAAGAAGACGAATACCACTACCACCAAGAAGCCCACAACCAAGACCCAGACACGGAAAGCTACTACAACGAAGCGCACGACGCGCCAGTCGACACGCAAAACCGACAAGCCCGTTTCAGACGAAGAGACGCAGCCCACCCATACAGAGGAAGATCTCGCCACAGATACTACGGCTGCAGAGATGACTACCCCCAGGGAGGACCCGAAAATTGACGACCCAACACCCGCAGTATCTGAGAACGAAACCCCTGATCGTGAGTACATTCCCTGTGTTTCTCACCCCCCTATGGTCCCCCAATCCCCCAAGAAGTCCCAGGAGATCGATTGTTTTGATGGCCTGGATCCCCGGGGTATCAGGGCTGCCTCGTGTCTCGAATCCTTCATCGACGAGCTAAGTAGTGTCGGCTCGCCTCTCTCTGAGAGGTCGAAGACGCCATCCTGGACGTCGGAGGATGAGACCGAGGCAGCCCTGGCACCGCGTCCCGCGCAGGAGTCGGGTGCCACCAACATTGAGACATCGGCAACCACAGAGAGAGTCTCACTCCCGACTCCTGCCGCGGAAGAGCGCACCTTTGAGCCACCTGCGGAACCAACCGTGGCGGAGCCAAGGGGAGTCACCGTCGTGACATCCCCTGAGCAGTTCAACACTACCTCATTGGCTTCCGCTGCGGGCTCCGGAGGAGTGGTGGTCGTCGAGGACGAGCGGGTGGGCGCACTTATCGCGTCATTTGCGAGATTGTCTTTGGATGATCTCGCGCCTCGCTCGTCCAATGAGGCGGCTGCCACTCTGATGGAGTCGACTACCGCGTCGTTCGGAGAGCCTGTTGAGCCCGCCCGCGTCACTCGCCGAAGCCTTCGCGCTTCTCGACAAGAGTGGATTTGGGACTGGGCTCAACAGGTCCCCTCCACGGGCTTCTTTCATCCCATCACAGGGCAGCTCGTGGAAGGGCCGTCGGCGTCGGTTGAGTTGGCGGGGGATCTCGCGTCCAACCGTGAGCCCCCGACCCGCCGGCTTGGGGTCCTGGACTACATCCTGCGAAGGCTACGCCGTGCGGTTCAGGTTATGTCGCCGCTGCAGGAAGAATCGCAGAGTAGTCCCGGCCCCGGCTCAGGGGTTGTTGCTCTCAATGCGGTGGCTCCCCGGGGAATCCGGGCAAAAAGGCCACAAAAGAACAAGGGGCTAACAAACCTGCCAGTGACCCGGAAGCGTGCCCGGGCAGATTCAAGCGACGAAGAGGCCCAAGGCCCGCAGACGCCTGCCGCAAACAAGCGGCGTAACCTTGGCCCCCCCGGCAGCACGCCGTATCGACCCGCAACCCGGCCGCGCTCCCTAACTGCGAACATTACTCCGTATTCTGAGAGACTACGGAGACGGCAAGCCGAAAAAGATGGCCGCATCCACTCCACCTCGCTTCGCGTATCTCAATTGCTGGCCCAGCAAGAAGCTGACCGGCGCCGCCAGGCAGCAGAGTCTTCTGCGCTCCCATGCGCTGAGCTGCCGCGTACCACCTTTGATTTCTCGCTTGATAACGCTCACGAAACCAGTCATGATCAAGAGCAGGCGCAAAGCTTACAGGAACAGTCTTCTACGCCCGAGCCGCCGGCCACTCCGGAGCGCCAGAGTGGTTGGAACCTCCGTGGTCTGCTCAACTCCGTACCTCGCACCTTCACAAGGATCCTACCCTCTTTCAGGAGGACCCCCGAACCTACTCAAGAGCAAGGTATGTTCTCTTTTGATCTGCATTGGCCCATATAATTGATGAGAATTTAGCGCCTCCCCAACCATCTTCCGAGCGTATTGATCGGACGCAAACCTTTCAGGCGCCCTCTAGTGTTTCTCAGAGCCAAGCACAGAGTAGCCGCAGATCCAGCGAGGAGCCACCTCAAAAGCGCCGTCGCAAGTCTTGGTCTCTCTTTGCGCAACCTTTTGATAGATCCCTCTACCTTGGGGACATCCCTAAGAAGGACTCAGCAGCTCCGTCTTCTGCTCCGTTACTGTCTCGCCCCTCTTCCAAGTCATCAACAGAAGAAACAACACCGCAAGAATCAGCCACGCCAGACGCCCAGAAAGATGTAGGCGTGGAAGGCCAAGATTCTCGGGAGCGCGAGGCAGAAGAACAGAAGCAAAAGAAGCGGAAGCGCTCCCCGTCGCCTGACGTGATTCCCAACCCTCCTGGGTGCAGTTACGGGCTGGACTTAGATTACTTCTGCTATAGCTCTGAAAGCGAGGATGAGCAAGAAATTCCGCTGCCACGAACTGAGCCAAACAAATCTGGTCGTTTAGCTAAGACAGCTGTCCGCGGCGCCTTGCGCTCAGAGCGGCATTCGTCGAAGAAAGTCCGCTTCGATGCGAGTCCAGAAGATACACCATCCAAACTCCGACTGCGTGCTCGTGCAACCGACCCATACCGTGGAAGGCACTTCATTGGAATGGGTGACGATTCTGAGAATGCTGCCCCAGAGTCTCCCACTCCGGCTCCCCATGCTGCTGATGAGTCTTCAAGCCGCCGTCCTGGATTCGTCCCAAACGTTCAGGGAACTTTCCAGTTAGATTACGACGCCTTCTCAGACGATTCCGAATCCAGCGGGGCCTCTGCTTCAGCAAATGTCTCCGCCTCCGCACCTACCCCTGCACCTAGCTCACCTACCACCACTCGGGCTAGTATCTCCGAAAGGTATGACATATTGTTCCTTGTTTCTCAAGACAAAGATTGGCTAACCAGAAATTCTCAGTGGTGTGCCACCTACAGAGTCCCGCCAGACTCCACGTCAAGCGGCTCCAGCCCCCTCAACTCCTGCGAAGATTGACGAAGAGGCTCTCGCCAGAGCTCGCTCACAGGCTGAGAAATACAAGCCTAAAACCCCTAGTGGCCTTCGTACTGCAAGCAGATACTCGAGTCCTATGACTGCTCCCCCCGACGCAATCTCTGCAACTGCCATCGCACCCGCAGTCACATCAACACCATCCACGTCCGAAACGGCAGTCGCACCTGCGCCTGAGCCCGAGCAGCAGACTATTGAAGATTTTGGAGACGATGAATTTGCCCGTGAGGCTCAGTGGCTCTATGAGAATTGCCCATCTGGAGACCTCAACGACCTTGTGTGGCCTCAGCCTGTAACATACGAAGAGCAAGGTTTCGGTCCCGAGGTGATCGATCTTGTCAATGAGATCTGGGATCCCTCAACTGTCGACTATGCTTATACCAACATCTGGAAGCCTGGCCTTGACGCGTTCAGGCGCGAATTAGAATCCGGCGCATCCGAAGCTGCACAAGCGTGAATTACATTTTGCGGACAATGGTTGAAGCAATAATTGCTCTTAGCCTTTTAAGATGAGTACGCTTTTTCTATGGATTAAACTGTCCAAATTCACGTTTATCTAGTGGTCTTACAATGCATGGGCATTTGTGTATTTGAAAGTTGCGTTGCTTTTTGTATCATTAGCATCTTAGCGGTTGAAGGCAACGAGGTTGCATTTATGTTCTTAGTTACACTGTCCACATTGCAAATGTACCAGCTGAAATGAATTCCCATTGACATTATCGTAGCAGAATCAATTAAACTGCATTATGATGATATGCGTAGCAATACGAGCTACTTATCATCAATTAAAAGCAAGCAGGCCACACCCTATCGTCCAGCATTCGGCGAACTCGGAGCAGCGTTAAGTATCACGAAAGGAGACCGATGCTCTAGTAACTCTTTGTATTCGAAAGAATCTTGAGATACGGACGTGGTATCAGAGACAATATGCCAAACTATAATGTATATACTACATGCCAATCCAATCGGACATATCAATCCATCAATCAAACCCCTCGAACTCATCATCATCTCCACCAGTA